TGCCCCATGTGACATGTACATGTACATACTGTATAAGTATAGTATACCGTACCTTCTGCTTTTCTCTCTCTCAACATCTCTCACTTTCTTCCTGCCATCTCTCCCCTCTCTCTCACGACTAGCTTCCACTGCAGAGTCTGCCGTTGCAAGAACAACTCCTTCAATATTTGCTACCGTGTCCAACACGACCTGCTGCTCTACTGAACAACTGCATTACATTGACCACGTCCAAAGACTCGCGCTATGGGTCGCTGCAAGATCGAGACTCACCCCAATAACGGTGCGTGCATCTCCTTGTCCCTCTCCATCCGCTAGCCTATTTCCATCGTCCCGTTTCTCTATCCCCCGTGCTATTTTCTCGCGCAATTCAGTTCGCCATGCTGACTCTATTTTCTCTTGCAGGCACTGGTAGCACGAGCGCAACCGCTCAGTGACTTTTGTCAAGGCGAGTTGTGTTCTCAGTTTTTTTTGCGACGCGTTGTGCGGGAGCTGCAGTGCTAGTGTGACGCATTGACTGAGTGGCACTGCTGTGCTGCTGTGCGCTTGCTATAATTATTTCGACGGAGGCTAACGCCGATTGATTTTTTATATCTCCTTCGCTGTCCGCTGTCCGCTGTCGGTAACCACTCTGTGTGCTGTGCTGTGCTGTGCTGTCTGTCTGTTGCATGTTCTTGGCTGGCGCGTCGAAATTGCCCATGGCGTGCAGCGGAAGAGCGGGCTGTTCAAGAAGGCATATGAGCTGGGAGTGTTGTGTTCTGTGGACGTAGCAGTGATCATCTTCAGTGCGTTCAAGGCCGTTCTGTCGTGTATCTTGTGTCCCTGTTCTCACACACCTGCCTGCTCTATTTTTGGGACACTATCTTCCTGCTCGATGTCAACGGCGGCATGTCGATTCTCGTCTTCGTTTGATGTGCCCTGACTGCCCGGGACAGCTCCCGATGCTGATGGCCAATGACGCCAATGATGACGACGCTGCTGCAGAGGAACAGGCCACCATGTGAAGCTGCATGAGTACTGCTCGACCAACGTCGACAACAAGGTCCAACAACACATCCATGTGTGTACATGTCTTTCATATTTCCTTTTCTTTGCTGTGTGCCCTGCCTGCTGGTCACCACAGCTTGCCCCTTTCTCTGAGTCTTCACACCAGCCATTGACTCATTATTTGATTCCTATTTCTTTTTACATTTTATTTTGTTTACTTTGTGTGACTGCTTGCTGACACTCACCTGCTCTTCTCACACTCTCCCTTGTGGACTTGACTGTGGCCCCCCAAACGAACCGTGTGATGTGATGTGATGTGATGCTGCCTATGGACGCATCGACCCCTGTATATCCAATGATTGCCCCAATGCACCACTCTCTCATATCACCCCCATGCTAAATTGCAGTCACTGTAGTCTATCTATCCATCCTCTCTCACTACTGTTCTTCTGCTCCTGCCTCCCACACCTGGCCACACATCTCAATTGCTCTGTATTTCACTACACAGCCTTTGCAGGCTTCCTTGGTCCCTCACAACGCCTGCACGCGTCCGCTCGCACATCCTGTTACCATCCCCTCCATGGTCTGTCCGATCAGCATGCTCCCTGTCCCCCTATCCGTACATCACGCGTCTGGTTCGGTTGTCCTATATTGCTGTAATGTTTCAGCATGGCTTTTTCTCACTAGTTTGATGGAGAACAAGAATCTAAGCATCCGGCCGACTTTAGCAAGCAACCAGACGATGGTGCTCACGATGACAACAACGATGATGATGAAGGTCCGAGGCCCTCAGGCTCTGGAGGTGCTTCTTCAGCTAGACAGGCTAGTGGATCTTCCAGAGGGATTATGGGAGACAATGCAGGTATGAGTAGAAGAAATAAGAGTGGTACAGGATTTAATAGTAGTTTTAGTAAATACTTTCGCCTGTAATTATTTACTCAAGTATAATATATTTGTTTTCTATTTCAATAATGATAAAAAAGAATGATTATTGTATGAAGCCTTTATTGTTTGAGCAGCTCTGGTAAGAGCTTGTATTCTCACTCAAGTCTTGTATACTCTGACAATTTATAAAATTATTGTAAATTTTAGAAGTCTTACAGACCTTCTAAAGATACATCTTAGCAGCAGATGCCAATGTAATGATCATTGACAGACTTCTATATCTTTTATATATTATAGTTATTAGAATGACATACAATGTATTGTCAGACCACATCTAGTTTTGTGATGACAGGTGTCTTCCTTCAACATGACCCTTGGTTGCACGGCTAAGCAGCGGGAAGCACCCCATTTTTATGGAAGAACGTCACGTGATCTGCTGTTCAAAGGGAAATATATAAGTATCTCTTTTTCTTTGTCACCTTTGTGGAACGCATAACCAACCGTCCAACAGATACATGCGATGGTTGCACCGAGTACAGTGTCTGATATGCCCAAACAGACAACTGGAAATGCTAGCACAAATTTTGCCAGTTTTGCTGTTGACATTTCGTCACAACCGTACGCAAGAAGGGTACAGGCTCTCATAAAGCTTATCACCGACCTTCGAGCTCTTGGGTACTGTCTTTTTGTTTCTAGCAGTTGCAGAATTTACTCAGTCTGTCCTTATGGCAGTGCTCAAGCAGATGTCGACTTGCCACGCATCGCCGTTATAGGAAACCAATCTGCTGGTACGTATAGGCTTTGGTTTTCTTTCTTCAGAATACATGAAATATGTCCTTGTATATACTTTGTTTTTACAGGCAAAAGCTCGCTGATTGAGGCGATGACTAGGGTGTGTAATCGTCATCCGAATTTCATTAGGCAGCGAAACTTATGCAAATCGCATTTTTACCCAGATCACTGTACCTCGCTCTCAGGGGACTTGTACGAGGTCAATCTTATTGGTTTCTACTTTGCATAATGGGATTAAGGCTTTCTCCGTGATTCTGCCTCGTGATTCATAGATGTCCCATGGAATGTCGGCTGTCAAACTCACCCGAGCCCTTTAAATGTCAAATATTTCTTCGCATTGAAAAGGACCAGTTTGGGTTACCTGTCAGGGAAGTCAAGGAAACCAAGTTTGGACCGCTTCTACATGACAAGAGGTGCGTTGCTCGTATCTGAATTCACCAAAAGGACGATCTATAAACCTGCCCTTAGGGAACTCGAAGTGATGCTGCGTCGAGCACAGCTTGCAATACTTAACCCGAGTGTACCAAAAGACAGATTTGCCGATCTCGATCTCGAAACCTTGGATCCTGATAAGCCGCCTCTGGGTTCTTTCCGCCAGCTACAGTTCTCTCCGAACGTCATATGCTTGGATATCTTCAGTCCGGATGTGACAAACCTGTCGTTCATAGATCTTCCAGGTTCCTGCCTTCCAAGCATGCCGCAGCAATCTTATAGAACTGAAAAGTTATGCATTAGGGATCATCTCTAACATTGCAGATGGAGAGGATTCTGCGAACATCGATCTCATTCAAAATCTTGTCAGAGACAACATATCGGGGAATACACTTATTCTCTTGACAATAACAATGAGGGGTAAGTATTGATTTACACGTCTCGAGAAGTCTTTCGTATTAATCTTCTGCAATTGTAGATGATATCCAGAACCAGAAGGCTGCTCTTCTTGCTAAAGAAGCAGATCCAAATGGTGATCGTACCATTGGTAAACGAGTCGAAATTTCTGTCTAAATCCCTCTCTATCTCTTCTGACGTGACGTTGATAGGTGTACTCACAAAACCTGATACGCTGCAGGATGGAGAACACAAGCAATGGCTCGATGTACTTGCAGGTCGAAAGCATCCGCTTACTCATGGATACTATGTAACAAAGCAAGCAAGTCCCGCTGAGTTACAGGAGCGGCTCGCCTACGAACAGGGCAGAGAACGCGAATGGTCGTATTTTGCTAATCAATCTCCATGGCGTGAGCAGGATTCCAGAGTCTGTCAGCGCTTGGGAGTCCCGAACCTAACAACCAGGCTCAGCACTCTCCTGAGCCAACTAATTGAAAAAACGTATGTAACTGGGTCAAATATTCTGGTCCATTAAGCCCTTAATGTCTGTCATACTGATTAACCACTTGGTTTAAGGATACCAAAACTCAAGAAAGACTCGCGTTCATTGCTTAACCTGATATCGCGAGAACTACGCTGCCTTCCTCCGCCTCCCTCCGGAAATCCTACGTCAGAACTCCTGAAGCTGGTAGCAGATTTCAATTCCGATTTACATAACCATGTTCGTGGAGTCTCAGGAGATATCATTCAGAGAACTCGCCCCGCGTACGAGTCATTCAGCAAAGACATACTGTCTACGAAACCAAATTTCGTACCATTCTTAAAGGCGGAACGGAATGAAGGTTGGCCTTGGGCGCGTGCGAGTCCTTCAGTGATATCGTTTAATCCAACGCCGAACCCGTCACTGTCATCCATCTTCCTGTCGAACACGACCGCGAGCTTCAAGCAGGCTCCTGCCAAGAAACCACCCACCTCCACAACGTTTAGGTTTGACGTGCCACCGGAACCCCACGGCCAGCAAGTCGAACCACCCACCAGCAAAAATAACGTCGAGCTCGAACCTGACTCAGTACAAGAAACCGTGTACCTCGATGATGTGAGAGAGCGTATTCATGCGTGGGTGCATTGTCACTCGTTAGTCATTGGCTCTCATTCTCTTCTACAAAACATAGCTCTAAAGCACGTGAGTTACCGTTCAATGTACCATACAAAGTGAAAGTATTCTATATCAATGAATGCTTCACTGAATGGAGTGGCCATGCACGCACCTGTTTCGACAAGGTCTTGCATGTATATCAAAAGTGTTTGGACGGCCTCGTCACTAAGTATTTCGGAAAATACTCGCACGGTGGACTTCATGAACGCATTAGGTGCTGTAATATGAAATATAGTTAGTCAAGGTGGAACTAATCAGGGAATATCTTTTACCCAGGAGCATAGTTGAGGACAAATTAGAACGCACAAAGGAAACTGCACTGGAACGAATTGGCTGGCTCCTGGAACTTGAAGAAGATCCGTTTACTCTAAATGAGCATTATTTGTTCAGTTGTAGAGATAAGTACCTCAAGCAATACCGAGAACAGCGCCAGGTATGGTTTGGGATATCTCATTTGATTTTACTGACTCACCCCTCCCCCCTGAAATATTGGATTGACTAGGCACGAAAAGGAGAATCTGTCGCGGATCCTGAACGCATACAGAAGGTTCTGGCAGAGCTTGCAGGAATTGGGAAGCAATGTTGTCCAGAATAAGGTAATGGTCTTAAATTCATCATCTCCCAATTTGGTAGTTACACATATAGCCTTCGTCTCGCGTTCTTTCCACCTCAGTCCAATACTACGTTGAACTGAGGTGGGTATTCTTTTATATTCTCTTCTCTGCAATATCTCATATCCTGTAGTTTTACCTTATTCCATAGGTAACTAATAATGAGTCCAATACTATGTTGAACTGAGTTTTACCTTATTCCATAGGTTATGAGCCTTGCACTTGTGCCACTGTGATACCTCATTAGCTTGTTTGCACCTTCTGGATGGTTAGAACTCGTGGAAATCGAGCAAGAGATAATTCACTGCTACTGAATATTGATTTAGACCCTTGGTTATTGAATTCACAAGGAAACAATGGAATTGTCTTACCTTGTTCCCTGAGTGCCACCAAAAGTGCCACCCAAGTCTCTACTCTTTCAGAGCTGGGTTCCCTGTTTTCAGGAAGTCTATCATCTATTGATACTAGAGTACAAACGATGAGTAGCAATGATTCATTCAACTACAGGTATACTGAACCTTACATAAACAGTGACTATCAACCAGCAAGTATCCTATGTTCTGAGACACTAGCCAAACATCTTCTTTCTCCTTTTGCTGGTTGTGTGTCTACTCCTGCTGTATCTACAATACATGTGCAGTTGCCAAATCCTCTCCTACATGTACCTAATGTCTTGCAAAACAGTACTGCCTTCAACCAACTGTCTAATCCCCTACTATGTACTCTGTACCTCTTGAATGTATCATCTACACCTTTGAATGTGAATATGTCAATCACACCTTTGAACTCGAGTCACCATAGTAATTTGAGCCACTATGGATCTGGAGGTAGAGAGGGACATGGAGGCCCTAACAGTCCTGGAGGTCTGGGTGGTCCTGGATGGCCAAATGGAGGACCAGGGTGGCTAGGATGGCTAGGATGGCTAAATGGTGGACCAGGAGGACCTGGAGGACCAAATGGTCATGGAGGACTGAGTATGTCAGGAGCAACAAACGGGTCAGGAGGACCATCAACTTCTCCAAGTTCTCTCCATCATAACAGACTGCCATCATTCCCTCTATTGTTCCTAGAGGTAAACAGAGCATTGTCTACAAGTATCTAGTATAATTGACCTGAGAATTGCAAAATTGTGGTCCTAAACAATAATGATAAGCTCAAAGCATTAGGCAAAAACTACTTTGTATGGAAACAGGTACAAACTGGCATTCTACACTGTAATGAGTGGTACAGTCATGTTATTGGTACTGAGCTGTGTCCTCCACCAATGTATGGTGCTAAAGTATTCAGACATTGGGTCAAAGTTGATAACCTTGCAAGCATGCAATTAGGACTTAACATGGATCATACACTCTTTCATTTGATTAAACAGTAGTGTGGAAATGTAGCTAAGGTTTGGCAGTGTATGGAAGAAATGTTTGGACACAAAAATGTAGCTTGAGTAGCAAATGCTGGAGAACAACTTTGGAAAAGGAAAATCTTACCTGGTGAATCCATACACACACATGTTGAACAACTCTGGAAGCTACAGGGAGACTACATTGATACAGGAGGTATTATGGATGATGATCAGTAGTTCCAGGTTATCATCCAGTCGTTGAATGAACACCCTGAGTAGTGTCAAGCTATATTCATGTGTAGAAGCATCTCCAGTCCTGAAGAATTGATTGCAAACCTAGAGATTTTGGAGACTCAAGGGATCAGTAGTGTGAACAATAGTGAATCAGCTCTTGCAACTCAGACCAAGAAATTGAAAGCTACCTTTACAAAAGGCAAGAGCAAAACCCAATACTCTAACTGTAAGTACACCAGTCATTTGATTGAGCAGTGCTGGGCTCCAGGCAGAGGTACTGTGTATAAACATTCACAGAATTACTGTATCCTATCAAACATGGTTGAAAAAGAATGGGCACACCTTACTATGATGCTCAAGGCATTAGATGATCCTACAGACAAAAATGCAACTGAAGTAACTGCTCATATTGTAGAACTGCCTGAATCTGCTCAGTTGGCTTGCACCACACCAAAATCATTAGGCTATCAGTTTGTGCTTGTTACAGAGGAGCAAAATACTCATCTTAATGAAAGCTTGTAGTTACTTGACTCAGGAGCATCATTGTATATGATGAACAACAAGGACACTCTGGTTGATTACAAGAAAATCAACCTGATTGTCATTCAAACTGCTTGAAAGGGACATACCTTGGATACAGTTAGTGTAGGGAATCTACCTGCTAAGTTTGTGGTTAATGGACAGAACGTCTGTGTCCTCATCCAAGGAGTCCTACATGTACCTGGTCTGACCCATAACTTGCTTTTGCTTGCAAAGTTTGATCAAAGGGGTGTGGAATTCTACTCTGTACAAGGAAAATGTAAGCTATTAGTAGGAAAGAGTACCATCACTGAAGGCTACACTCACTCAAACCAGTGGATAATGTGTATCAAGTTAAAGTGTGAAACTGTACATCTTGTCTCCTGAGTGTCTGACATTACACAATTGATTGATGTGTGGCACTAAAGGCTTGGTCACATCAATGTAAAGCAAGTCCTCAAGTTGAGTACAAAGAACATTGTACAAGGTGTAAAAGTGATGAGCAAAGATCTGCAAAAACCTTGTGTCAGTTGTATAACAGGCAAGATGGTTGCTACACACACTGGTTCAAAGGAGCAGAGTGCAAAGTTGCTAGGTGACATCATTCATTCAGACCTAGAGTTCATAGGAGCTTCTTTGTTCACTAGTGCAACAATTTCCTTAAAGTTTATTGACAAACATTCTAATTATGTATAGAACTTTACACTTTGTAATAAGGACAGAGGAACTGTCCTACATCATTGGAAGAAGCTAGTAGCACTCTTCTTAACCCAATTCAATGTGTGTGTGAAAGCCCTCCATACAGATAATGGAACCAAATATGTCAATAACAACATGAAGGTGTTTAATGAATCACAAGGAATCACACACTGCCTTACAGTTCTATACTGTCACAAAATGAACAGTTGTGCTGAAAGAATGAATTGTACTGGGTCAGATACTGTAAGATCAATGTTGTATGGGGCAGTATTAACTACTGCCTATTGGGCTGAAGCATACAAGACCTTTATATACTTGTATAATTGGGCTAGAGTGTTGGTGGTGGACAGGCAGACCCTGTATAAAGTCCTTACTAGGAAGAAACCAAACTTAGTGCATGTATGAAAGTTTGGGTGCATTGCATATATGTGGGTACCTCCTGAGTTAAGGACAAAACTACAACCAAAGGTGTTAAAATATTGCTCAGTCAGATACAGAGAGGATGCTGTATACTAATTGATTCATCTAGTAACCTACAAAATAGAATATTCTTGTAACATTGTATTCAATGAACAGGACCAGAATTACAAGGTGGAACACAAGCTAATAACATTAACAGACAGGAAGGATGTCCAGAATCTTGTCCCAAGATGCTCTGAGCATATCTGTGAAAAGTTAGAGAAAAGCACAGAGGCAGTACACGTTTGCAGCATCATTACTATTCTAAGATCTGCTCATGAAGCTCTCAGATCTGAGGATAGGAAAGAGTGGTGCATGGTGATGAGATACAAAATCAATAAACTCACTGAAATGAAATGCTGGGACATTATTGAGTGTAGAGACACTAGCAACCTCATTAAAGGGATGTGGGTGTTCACTATAAAGTAAGAAGCAGACAGACGTCATGAATATTGTGCAAGGTGGGTAGTAAGAGGCAACTCACAGCAATATGGTATCAACTTTGACAAAACGTTTGCTGTGGGTGGAGACTTTGTATCAGCAAAAATTATCATTACTCTATCTCTTCATGAAAACAGACTGCTCACAACTGTGGATATTTTGTCAGTGTATCTACACTCTCTACTAGAGGAGACCAACCTGGTTGTAGAATATCTGACAGGCTTTACTGTTGATAGGTTTGATGATCCAGTATGCTTGCTGAAAAAGGTGTTGTACAGACTGAAGCAAGGAGCATGTGTGTGGGCAGAGCACTTTGGTGGAAGGTTGAAGGACTTAGGGTACTGGAGGTGTATTTCAGCTCCATCAGTGTACATCCGTTCAGACAAAGACAGAGAGACTATACTTGCAACCCATGTAGATGACTGTATGGCAGCATGCACTTCATTCACTAAGAGACCCAATGCAGAATCTATGTGCTTTAAATCAGATATCATGCACTACTTCAAGTATAAAGAAAAGGATGTACAAACCAAGGCAAACATCCTTAGAATGACTGTCTACTGTGACAATGCAGCAGGAACAATAAAGATATCAGTTCCTCAAAAGATTGACCAGTTACTTGAATCTCACAGTATACAGGACTCTAACCCAGTCTCTACTCCAATGTGTAAGAATATCTGGACCCTCCTTGACAAGGATAAATCCAAAGCTCCAGAAGTACCCCCTTAGCCTTATTCTTCACTGATTGGGGAGCTCCTTTGGATTTCGACAGTGGTTCACATTAACATTTCGTTTGCAGTCAGCATACTATCACAGTTCCTCCAAAAGCTGAAAGAGGTTCATTGGAATGCTGCTAAGTGCATTCTCTGTTATCTCAAAGGAATGAGGGAGCTGGGTATTGTCTACAAATTAGATGGAAATCAGAAACTGATAAGGTATTGCAATTCTGATTATGCTGGAGATTGCTCTGATTGCAAATCTATAATGGGCTTTGTCTTTGTTGTGAATGGAGGACCAGTTGGTTGGAGATCAAAAAAGCAGACTGTGGTGGCAAAGTTGACTACTGAGGCAGAGTATATTTCTGTCTCAGCATGTGCCCTAGAAGCCATCTGGTTACAACACTTCTTCAAAGAGATAGGCCAAGGATTCTGCAATCAGCCCCTAACCATCTATATAGACAACCAGGCTGTAATAGAACTTACCAAAGATCCGGTCTACTTATCCAAGACAAAGCATATTGATATTCAAGCACATCATATTTGGGCCTTTGGCATGAAGTGTACACCAAGTGTATCTCTGTCCATCATATACCTGGTACTGAAAATCCGTCAGATTTCCTCACGAAACCCCTGGATCCGCTTGCACATAAACGTTGTGTATCCATGCTGGGAATGGCTTAACTCTGTCGTCTTACAATTTCTCTTCTTCTACTCAAACTTTCCTTTTAATGCGTTACCGCTTGCAGCTTTGATTGCAAAACTCGTTCAGAATAGTCACACAACTCCCTTACACGTCACGTTATTCACTGAAGTTTTGCTCTATTCTTTTCTCTTCACTTTTCTCTCATTTTCGTTACCTACCAAATGCCTCGATGAGGAGGACTAAGGTAATGGTCTTAAATTCGTCATCTCCCGATTTGGTAGTTACGCATATAGCCTTCGTCTTGCGTTCTTTCCACCTCAGTCCAATACTACGTTGAACTGAGGTGGGTATTCTTTTATATTCTCTTCTCTGCGATATCTCATATCCTGTAGTTTTACCTTATTCCATAGGTAACTAATAATGAGTCCAATACTACGTTGAACTGAGTTTTACCTTATTCCATACAGAAGATCTAGCACGATTGGATGGGCCTGACCCTTATGAACAAGAGCTAGAAATGATGGCAGAAGTCTCAGCGTATTTTCGCGTTGCGTATAAGGTATGTTAAAGCGAGTCCTAAACAACGGCTTGATTGCTGAATCTTTTTTGATGTCTCCTACGCATTAGCGCATGATGGACGACTTGCCACGTGCAATTGACGTCGACTTCTTGAAAGGTCTTCAGCAAAGCATGCATTCGGCTCTGATCAATGGATTATGGATGGGCGAGGTAGATAGCAAGGAGGCAGCAAGCCGTCTTCTCAGTGAAAACCCGAATATCGCAGCACGACGTGCCAGTCTTGAACAGGTCAAAGAGCGGCTCGAAGGAATTTGCGCCAAACTGAACAATTTTGCAATGTCGGGGCAGTGATAAGACTGGGAACACTTAACATGATGCGTTGACTTCATCTTGTATAAATCATTCAGTGAGGTTGCGCAACTAGCAACCAGACACCAGAACGTTTTTCGTAATGAACTAATACATGGAAGGGAATTTCTTAATGAGCTTAAGTTATGAACAGAGTTCAAAAAATATGTCAATGTCGAGTCTTGTTTACAACATTTAGACAGAATAATACTGATCAGATGGAAATTTCAATCCCAAAGGTAAACACACTTGAAAATATGTTGTGCACAGTGGAAAGAAGACTGTCGGTTCGAGCCAGAAGGCAAGGGATTCTGTGGGTCTATTGCGTTGTGTAAGGCGAGATTGCGTATCTGGGTAGAAAAAGAACTTTGTCAGCACCTTCAGCTTTGCACCTTCGTGTATCTGCTAAGTAGGACTGTAAATTTATGTCCTGCAGGCTCTACATGATCACGAAAGCCAAAACCCATTATACTCAGCTGCCTCGTCTTCTCAACTGAACTGTCGTTTGCATCCCGTTTGAGATTGTACCCGACTTTACAACACGTCGCATAGATTATCAGTTGTTCACTTTGGCAGCAATGATTCAAACTTCAAACTTCATGACACAAGTAGCAAGACAAGAATAGGCTGTGATAAACAAGTCGTAACAGCCTAGACCTATTCCACGAAAGGGTCTGAAAGCAGACTGGCCCTTATTCGCTGGATTAAATTTACCAAATGAAAATGTTTTGACACTCAGAGACCGTCATCAAGCGCACCTATGATTGTAACTGGGATCCGGTACAGCAGAAATACTGGACCAGTATGTTGCACCGCCCGATAATCTTTCAACCTTGGACAGTTTCCAGTCAGAAACTTTAAAAATGTCGGGAAATTCCTGAACCGTGCGGCCGCCAGCGTTATGGCCAATCAATACCTGCACAAGTTGTGAAGCTTTCAAAAAATGGAAAACAAGGATGATGGAGAAACCTACAAGAAAATCGATTAAGTAAGAAAGCATGTTAGCTTCTCCCAAATTCGACAGTAGAGGAGCTGGGGGTTTTTGACAACCACTGGCATCAGCACCTTTTCCAAAGCCAGTATTTGACTTGCATGCATATTCTGGAATGCTCTCCAGTATAACAAGTTTGGTCTTATCAAGGACAGCAGCGTTCCGTAAGCACTTGAGAATCCTTATGGCATATTTGTCGGGCCAGTCGTGTAAAATCCACCGTAGTAGAAACACATCAGGGGTTGCGGGAAGTGCTGGCTGTTGATCGAGGAAATTCGTATCTGCCATAGATAAATTGAATGAGTTATACTCTCGAGGGACAAAGGAGATGAGGTTGTACCGATAAAATGGACCTTTCCCATTGAAACATGTGATGTAAGATGCTCCTTCCAATACTGAGGACAGAGAAATAACCCGCAGTAAGTACACTTTGGTCCTTTTTGCCACAGCATTGACTTACAGTCTTTGCTTGTTCAATCACGGATGTGCGATCTTCAAGGACAATAGTCATATCTGGATGTTTCTTGGCGACTTCTAAACTGACGTGCCCAGTACCACTTCCAACATCGACGAGGACTCCGTTCGGTACTTCCTCCCAATTGAAAGCTGACGGTTGCACCTTAGAAGTCATATATTAACATGGCATTTTCTCATGTAGACTTACCGGACAAGATTGTTTCTGGGTGCACAGTGGTAGCATTCGACATAAATACGTTGAAGCGGTCACGTCGGTAGTGTTGCTCAGGCATCTCGTATATGTCCCACATAGGCAATTTGACTTTCATGGCCCTCTGGAAGCCGCTCTCATCTATTTCTTCTGAGTGTGCAGTTTTCGGGTCGAGCATAGCTTCTCTAAGACCATGTGCAGCCAGCATAATCTCGTCCGCCCTAAACATTTCATCGTATATGATCCAAAGTCAAAGAATGTTCATCGTAGCACGTACCCATATCCTGCTACTGCCGCGAAACCCGCTGTATTGACATGCTTGGTCTCGTTGCTGAGGTGTCCGGTTTAGAAACGAGACACATAGTGTGCACGTCACTTACAAGTTCTCGATCAAAGGTTTTCCTGTATCGAGCAACGATGACAACAAGTTGTGTGCATAGGTCTTCTCATCAACCTCTCGGAAATAATGATTCGATGCTAGCATCCTCATAACACGATCTGGAAGTACAACGTAAGGATCAGAGCGTTGCTTCAAGTCAAAGCTTACACAATTTCCTTGCATGTACCCCACTCCTCTTAGCTATCTCTTCTGCGTGCATACCCTTTGGATTTATGTGCATCATTGAGGGCACCTACTTTTGAGTAGCAGGTTCGCTTACCTCGGGACCTGCATCTCGAAGAATTTCGGCAACGTTCGCGTTCTCCGCGATACCCAAACACCCAGGTAGCACAAACTTGGACAACGTTGCAACACATCCTTAGACAGAGAATGATTTGATATGACAGACCTTAAATGCAGAGTTCCATAAATGAATAGGTGGGGACTGCAGCGTTGCGATGAGCTGAGCTGCAGCCGCGACTGCAAAATTTATGCTATCTGCAATCTCGGGTTATTGCGGATACCCCCTCAGAGGAGAACTCCGTTGGGTGAACTGGCTTGTCAAGCGACGGGAATTTCTTTCCCCGTCTCCTTGCATATTCCGACAATACGACCGACAGAGGACGCAATGATATCGCTGAGAGCTTCGAGGTCTGTTGACATGTTGTGAGTAAGCTTGAGTTCTGTGGACCTCTTGGCCGAAGTCTGGGTTTATATACTGTTCACACTCGTTTATCGCTTACATCATGAAGATGCCTTTCGGATCCAACGGTGCCAGCTCCGGGAAACAGGTTTTGCATACGAACAACGATCACGGTGACGATGTGACAAGAAGCGAGTCTTCTCTGGTTGTCTCAGTAAGGAATAATCTGGTTACCGACTGACTATATTTTTGTCTTGCAATAGGAAGTCGGTGAAACCCCCCGAACGAATGGTAAAGTGGACTTGGATTAGCACTTAGGATGAAGTATTCACGCTGCATGTAGCTTAATGTATCGTTCCTAGTCCTCCGACTGACGCTGATCAACAATTGAAACTGATCCAATCTGATTCTTTCGGAAGCTTGCAATAAGTCAGCATAAGTGTATACTTGTTTATTACCTCCCACTGTGCGGTGGACAAAATTCGGTATGTCGTCCGGAAATCGTCCAGGCCTCTCTGTAAACACTTCAAATGTCCACGACAACTGCATTTCGTCTAAGATCGTCCCGATAGCCACCCACGACAGAAGCATTGACCAGCCTTGTCTGGCTTCTCTTCATTTTCTCTCTCACGATACAAACGAGCATCAGAAGCAAATTCCACCATCCTCCTTTATTCTCGCACATCTTCTCGTAAGCCTCCTGATCAGCAGTCCACGACACAATTTCCGTTCCCCGCGCAGCATGAATATGCCCGAAGACATGCAGTCGTGGACGTACGCGCCAAAGTGCTTGTAATAGTGCAACACAACCCGAGCCGTCATTATCAAGATGGTACGCGGGTGGACCATGCGTGATGAGTACATCCGTGTACAAGGGTATTGCAGCCCACTGTCTCGACGATGCAGCTTGTGACGGATGTACACGAGAGTATTGAAAAGGCCAAGATCCGTGTTCCGGAGTGTACGGGCTACCATAGATGTTCAACATACGACCTCGCACATCTATCGTCGTCTCCGTGGTATCCAAATAATGTAAATCAGGATATGCTTCGCGAATGTGCGCAACAATAGCTGGGTCGACGAGGCAGGAGTCGTGATTGCCAGCAATGAAGAACTTGTATGCGTGCGGCTGAGTGTTAAGCCATGCCAACGCGTTTTCTAGTTCTTCAAGAGTACCGGACTGTGTCATGTCTCCAGCGTGGATGAGAATATCACCGTCTGGAAGAGGAGTAATTGAGTTGTGATAATTGTGCGTGTCGGAAATACACACAAGACGGATTTGGTCGCGTGAATCTCGAGAAAAGGATACATGCGCATCGCTTCTTTGAAGGTATGGGTAGATCTTCTTCGCAAGAAAATACGAAGGCGAGCCAAAAAAGAGCCCTAGATTGGAAGGCTCGCGGCGATCGAGGACTGCATCCATCTGTATGGCACACTAGCAGTAGTACGAACGAAATGAACGATAGTTACGATACACGTAGATCAACGTGGTCTTCGCTTAGTCAGCTTCGAATGACGGCAGTGTCAGTGTCATCCAGGTCAATTCCGAATTCAAAAGATTGTTGCTAGTTCATTACATGACTATTGCGGAACATCTCAGAACACAATATATTATTGCGATCGAATCAAAGACGCTTACCTATAAGTTACGCGCAGGGCCCACACTCCCTCGAAACTTCATTCGATTCACCGGCTCACGCGCCTATTACTTCCTGCTCTTCGACCTTTTCTGTCTTTGCTTACCCGACCGTCGCTTCTTTGACTTCGGCTTCTCATCCTGGACCTGGGGTGCAGACCGGGCCGTGGGTTCTGCACCACGAATACGTGTCCTCCCATCCTTGAGGGTCTCCGTAATGATAGGACTAGCGGCGGGTCTGTACTTGAACTCTTCAGAGTAGCTGACCTAATATAAGCAAAACCTAGAAGGAAACACGAATGAAGGGTATTACGAACCGGTTTGCATAAACGACCTTCGAGCGCCGATTGCCACTCGACCGCACAACAATCATTACAAGCCATAGAACCGCGATTAAAAGCAAGATATTTCGCAATCGTTTCCAGAGGTTGCGCGTAAGAGTGGCTTCGGCATTCGACTCGTCCTTATCTTTGTCACCGTCATTCGCGTCTTCGCGCTCCTCTTCTACATGTGTTTCCTCTTCGACAGAGTCTTCACTTGCGGCTTGGTTAGGTATTCCTACTGCCTCCTTTTCTTGCATAATGAGAGATCGGAATGCTGACTCTTGAAGCTACTAAAACCCGGCCCAGCTGCAGAATAATACGTGTGAGAGTACGTTGAGAGAGTGCTGAGCTGGACGGCAGGCGAAGTTTCTCGAAATGAATCACGTGCACGTAATGCTGATGTCATACATGCATACATAATGCAATCATTGCAATGCTCGAAACGAATAACAAGTTCAGCAACTCTCTATAGCAATGCCTGGCTTCTACGTGTAATCGTATTATTCCCAACTACCTCTAGGTTCAACTTGTCTCCGAGTGACTTCATTCTAATCAACGACGGCTCCTACGCGGCGAACGGGTAGTCGGTATATCCTTTCGGTCCAGCCGACGCGCCATACAATGTGTGGATATCAACATTATAGTTCGGTTCCTTACCGGACTCAAGTCGATGTGCAAGATCAGGATTCGAGATCCAGAGCCATCCAAGAACTGCTCCGTCTATCTTATTTTCTGAAATGAGCTGGTCCGCCTCCTGTGGAGAAACATCGGCATTCAAAAGTAGCTTGGACTGCGTAAAGAGTGGTGAGTATGTGGCAAGAACGTCGTGCCTCGTAGCACGTTTCTTTCCTGGATAAGGGGTCAATTGATCGTCAGGGTTGCGAGAATGTGCGGACAACTCGCCGTCAAATTCGACGTCCATCTTGGCAGCATAACGCGCAAGGCATACGTATGCGAGGCCAATTGCGTTTGACTCCTTAATAAAATGCGAGTATGTTTCTATTGTCTCTTCCAACGTCATCCTGTACGGATAAATAAGCAACGAGAAAGTCTCAAACGCATACAACACAATCGATAACTTACCCGGCATCGTTATATCCACCGCAAGGGTTTAGTTTCACACCGACTTTATCCGCGCCCCAAACGTCTACTAGCACCTTCAGGACCTCCAGACCAAAGCGGCAGCGGTTTTCCGTCGAGCCTCCCCATTTGTCCTCGCGGAAGTTTATTGTGTTGTCAAGGAATTGCTGGACTAGATATCCGTTCGCCGCATGAACTGAGCAGAAAAAGGCGTCATTGGCATGACGAATCACAAATATAACTAGTGGCTTACGTTCAACTCCATCAAAGCCAGCTTCCTTCGCATTGACCGCAGCATTCTTGTACTGTTCGATAAGAATGGTAGGGTCAGGAACCTCTGTTGGCTTTTTGTGGAGTGCGTCAGTATCAAATATAGGCCGTCTAATGTGTTACCTACAGTGACATATCCCGGTGTCCCTGGCAGGTATCTGAACTTGCCACCTCGAGCGGCAACTGCCGATGGCGCATAGACAGGCTATATTGCGTATATTGTTCAGCGTACACATAGATAAAACAGAAAGAGAATTGGCTCACAAGACCACTTGCTTTCTGTTCCGGAGCGTCCGGATGACTAACGCGACCAAGATGCCATAGCTAAATATGACGGAGCATATATACACGCAGGAGATATGAAAGATGGTTAAATAGAAACTTGTAGGAAGTTGATTTAAGCAAGTACCTGACAGAAGATCTTTCCACCTTGACTATGTACAGCGTCAGTAACCTTCTTCCAGGCACTGACATGCTCTTTTGACCAGATTCCTGGAGCGTTCGGCCATTCAGTACTGAATCAAAGGAGTCAACACATCCAAATACGTGGATGACAAGGATTTAAATAACAAACCCTTGCTGTGAGATTAATGTTCCTTCCGTCACAATAAGACCTGCCCCGCCTTCAGCACGCTGCTTGTAGTATTCAACATTCAGCTGCATAGAGAAAACGGATAAATTTGATTATAGGTTACGGAACACGTAGAAAGGGACTCACGTCATTCGGGACGTTCGTAGGAGCACTACGATCTCTCGTCAGAGCACTCATTACGAGTCGATTGCGAAGTGGCACGGAGCCAATGGTGACCGGAGAGAGAAGATGAGAAAATGCAGCCATTCTAATAGGACTTGTGTGGATTCGTCGACGAGTACAGTGATGCAGTATCTGGGCTATTGCTGGTGGTGGACTTTTATACATTATCGCTCCGGTTATTATCGAGAGTATTGGGATTGTATGTCCAAGGACGTGCGTCCACGAACGCCTGTTTATGCCCGTCCGGAATTACGTGTGCTATACTAGAGCTCATGGCGACATCATATCGTGAGTCCAGCTTTGGAAGATGCGATTTTCGATCCGATACGGGCTGAATAATCAGATTTATACGGTTTGGGTAGATTTCCTGCTCATTAATTAATAATGTTGAACCCAATACTCCTGCCAAGCGGATGAGACGCGCTTACTTGGGGGTTACGTCATCATCCGTAGAAAGAACGACACAGTTCTTTACCCATCTACTTCTTTGAGCTGATACACAACAGGATTAATAACAGTTTCGAAGCAGTGATCCGACTCGGGAGGCAACACTGGGAATCCAGCAGCAGAAGTTGCTGCAGAACCAGGATAGGTCCTCATCCTCCGAGTCGGTAGTGCCTCTTCGACATCTATTTCCATTTCAAGTGTTTATAAGTGATGATACATTTATACTGCGTAGTTTGCTTCGCAGCTGACTGCATGTGACTAATGCGGTCCCTTGCGTGAGGTCGTAAGAGCTCTGAGGAGGCGCGGACAAACACAAGAGCAACGGACAAACTCTTCCACAGGTGCATCTCACTGTACAGTATTACCAACACTGCCTATTGCTTCTACAGAATGCATTTAATATCCGAATATCTAATAGTTATCTCGTGGTGCCCAAAATTTAAGGACGTTGCATATTCTTGATATGACAGTTCCGCTTAATTATTCTCTTATTGTTTCCGACAAATGACTGTACATTGATGGTGTACGCAATCCGGCACATCTTGTACTCCCGGTAGCTATTTCCACATGCTACATGGCACATGTGAGAATATTCAATTATCATCAAAGTCTTCTAACAAGGGCACAATCTCGAGCAGGGAATTCTACGGACATTTCTTTTTACAACCAAACAAACATCTAGCCGTTATGAGATTTTCACCCTTCTGCAATTTCGCCAGCCTTCCTTGCGAAGTTGCGATTCAGTACACCCAGGCAGTTGCTCATCGGATGAAAGAAGAAGCTTCCTTGTTCAATGTGAGGGATTGCTTTCTCCAGCATCTCTTGTGTAAGATTAATAATAGCTATCTTGCACGTGTTGTCACGATCTGCCCAGGTCCTATATAATGAGCATATAAGTATTTTCCTTATGATTACCTTTAATCAGCTCACTATGAACGAGTGGTCAAGCACTTTTACACTATAAAATAAGAGTGCAAGGCCTATGCAATATTGTACGTGGTATGTGCTATAACATCTGCGCAAGGTTTCCAGCAGTTTGACAGACGAACTGAGGTTGAGATCGACAAATTTGATCCAGAATGGGCAAGTGTTACCAAATGCGTCAAGCGCTGATCTTGTACCACTGCTGCACTACGGCTACTTTTCTTTTTTACGTGCTATAAATAAGCGACCGAAACTCATGTCGGAAGTCCATCAAGATTTCTTCTCGCGGGCATTACTTCGTGGTTTCGGCTTTCTCGGCTCCCGCCTATCTTGCACGAAAGTCAAGTGACTGCATTGGAGAATTCGCGTCGCATTGGTGCCTTCTATTTCACTTCCTTCGACGATGACGCTGACTGTTCAGGCTGAACCAGTTCTACCAACGCTAGATCGTCTCAAGGCGACCATTCCTCAAGAGGTTTCGGCTTCTGATGTTGCTTCGGCATGGCTTGTGAAGTTCGGCGAAGTGCTACGCTCCTCAAAACCCGAAGCGATTAACCTCGATAATATTTTCTTTGTCGATGCCTTCTGGAAAGATATCCTCGCATTGACTTGGGACTTCCGGACAATTCGTGGAATTGATGCAATCCAGGCTCTCATCCGCTCCAGAGCCCTGCCTTGCAAGCTATCCGTGTCCTCCATCTCCTCCGACGCGTATCGTAAACCAATATTAGCTCAGCCGTTTCCAGATCTGGCATGGATCCAGTTTGGTTTCGATATCGAGACTAAGGATGGGACGGGACAGTGTTACGTGCGTCTGATTCCAAGCGCAGGAGGACAATGGAAAGCATATACAGTCTTCACTAGTCTTGAGACGCTACACGGGTCGAATGGTCAAGCAAGTTGACCTACTGTTTATTCCTTACCCTCTGAAATCATGACTTTCCCTATGTAGATCGTTCGTAATCCAAACCCAGAAACCCGCTGGAAGGAGAAGCGCGCTTTCAGTACAGAGTTTATGAACGAGAATCCTACCGTTTTAATTATAGGAGCGGGACATAGTGGCCTTGAACTGGCTGCACGGCTTGGAACTATGGACATCTCCACGCTAATTGTAGACAAATTATCTCGTGTTGGTGATAATGTAAGGAACTTGTTATCCGCATCCGAGACTTATTAACACTTGTGGTCTGGTCTAGTGGAGAAGACGCTATGACACGCTTTGTCTCCATGACCCGATATGTAAGCCTGGCGCTATGCGTATCTCAATCAAGAACTGATTGAAAGTAATATACAGGGTATGATCAAATGCCCTTCATGCAGTACGTATTTATGGACGTCCCTACATGGAAAATAACTAATCATTGGGAATGCCATCAAGATTTCCACCTTCCTGGCCGGTGTATTCTCCAAAGGATAAGGTAATGCCATGGTCATTTCATCAATATTCGACTCTTCTTACCCCCGTTACAGATTGCTGGCTGGTTAGAAGCATACGCTACGTCTCTCGAACTAAATGTCTGGATGTTAAGCACCGTCCAGAAAGCAACTTGGGATGAGAATGGAAAAGTATGGAACGTGGCAATCGCTCGCGAAGATGGTCCTGTGAGATTTTTGCAATGCAAATTCCTCGTATTTGCAAACGGATTTGGGGGTGGAAACCCGTACATCCCGGATATTCCAGGACAAGTACGTCAACATAATGGACTCCACGATTAACGTCCAATTCTTTTATTGATAATGTCACATCAACCAGGACTTGTTTGAGGGCGTTATTGAACATTCTGCACGTTTCCGCAGTGCAAAGTCATTCGTAGGTAAAAAGGCAATAGTGGTCGGCGCATGCAACTCAGGTACGCGATTGCGACAAATAATCCCACCTGACTAATTGAAGACTAATCTGGTGTTACTCGGTCACTCATATAGGGCACGACATTGCACAAGACTTTTTCAACAATGGCGTTGATGTCACCATGTCAGAATTTGGTTAAGAGCAACGTCAACGTGCTAACATGTTACATAGGGTTCAGCGCTCTTCTACATATGTGATATCCGCTGGTGCAGTCAGACAAATGCTAAGTGGTAAGAGATCGTACGTCCCACTCGGTACCTTACTTGATTGGCCTTGTAGCCGCTTATAGCGATGACGGCCCACCCCTGGACATTGCTGACCGCCTTGGGGCATCACTACCACCCCCTGTGTCAAACCTTGTCAGTCGACGAGGGGTCGCTCACATAGCAAATACGATAGACAAGTTCGTTCAATTATTGGCCAGCTTCAACTATTGTGGTGTTGATTATTATGATGCAGAGAAATATTGGAACGCTTGAGAAAGGCTGGGTTTAGACTCAATATGGGACCTGACGACTGTGGTGCCTTCCTATCATTTTTCAAAAGGGGAGGAGGTTACTACCTTGGTAGGTAGTTATTCTCTCCTCCGGTTCCACCGTTCCTATAGATGAACTCATAAAATTTAATAGATGTCGGTGCAAGTGCACTCATCGCGGATGGGAAAATTAAGCTTAAAGCGGGAACCGAGATTCAGCAGTTTACACGGAACGGCATAAAGTTTGCCGATGGCTCTGAACTGAAAGCGGATGTCGTTATTTTTGCAACCGGGTTAGCATCCTACCATTGCAACTAGACTTGCAGCTGACTCTTCTGCTTAGCTACGGAGATCAACGTGATATTGCAAAGGACATTTGCGGGCCCGACGTTGTGAAAGCGCTTTCACCTGTTTGGGGTATTAACGAAGAAGGTGAACTCCGTAGTGTCTGGCGGGACTCTGGGCATCCTCAATTACATTTTGTCGCTGGTATGAAATAAAAAATCCCAATTCTTCGTGCCACTTCTGACAAATGTCTATTATAAGGGAATTTTGGTATCTCTCGCCTCTATTCTCATTACCTTGCTCTCCGTAAGTAACCTATTTATATATTTTAGACATCGTATTTAATCCCGCTTGTTTCGGATACTAACAGAGATCAAGGCGAAGCTGTCGGGTGTTTCTTGCGAGAAATACTGAGTGCTGCGGGTTTCATGAAGTAGAAGTGATTACGCACAATTCAGATGTAGCAACCTCACCGACTGTATTGTGATAAATATACAGAAGATAAAATGCTGTAACAAATACAAATACAAGTACGATTTTCATCATTTGTCTACTGTGTGCGGGCTAGGTCTCTCAGCCGTCCGTCTATGAATGGTGCCACAACTGGCAAATGCACATCCGCAGGTTGGTTTGCCACCTGGTACTTCTTTATCTTCTCTTTAATGTTCTCCGCCCTGAGGCTGTTCTCCCTGCTAGCTAACGCAAAGAACATGCAATAATACGCAGAGAACTGTATAACTGCATGCATGTAAGTGAGGGATCGGCGGATGTTGTTTCCTGCTCGTCCTAACGTATCCTTACTAAGAAGCACCTTCATTCCCCAAGCGCTTCGTGTTGCGCGCTCTGAAGCCCAGATCGATTGTTTCGTTTTGGGGGTACCCATGTTTTCGTGCTCTTGAGAGGGATGATGCACGTTGTCTCGATGTTCGGTTTCTAGAGCAACATAAGCAATCAAAACTCTCCTGTCCCTTTGCATGTTGAGGCACGTACCAAGATACCTGCGAACGATCGTGCTCATCATTTGGCCTTGTTCGTCATCGATGAGCATTTTCTGGCCTTTCAAACAGTCAAAACCGTCATGGCCGTCCGCCATATATTCCCGGGTTATTACGACATATTTCCGTCCACCACGCTCGCGTATGATTTCTTCGTACTCTTCAAGCTCGTCAGACATTGAGTCTATGCTTGCAGGTTTGCCTTTGCAATCATGAACTGGAACTGCAATATTTTGAACACGTTGTCCGGGGGGCTTTCTCGAGTCCCAGTTTACACGAAAGCCGGAAATAACAGGGAAACGCCTGCACGCCAACGTCAATGAACATGGTGATCATGATCCACGCTATTACCTACCCTTCATGTGCCGGCCACGTACTAAGACCCACCTCGAGCACTTCCCAAATTGTATAGCCATCAAGTTCGAGAGCAACAATGCTGTCGTCAAAAGGAAGAATCTCCATGATATCACCAAGTGCAATCTTGCCTATACAAAATATGTCAGAGTTAGGACGCCAAGGATGTCGTTCAATACTGACCAGGACCGTAAGTCGTATCTCCCCTGAGAGCACCTGCACACAATAATGTGCCGTGCGCGGCGTGAATTCCCATCTTGCTGAGTGGATCATCGTAAGCGTGGTGAATGACATCTGCAAACCAGTTTCCGGTCGCAGACTGAAGTTGAAAGGAAGATAAAGAACCAGTCAGATGGAGACAAATCGAGAATTCTAAGACAACATATACCTCCGACGTGCGTAGAAACTCCGATCGAAGGTCGAGCATCCCGGAAGCCATACAAACTGGTTTCTTAATCGCGTTTGAGACCGTATCTAAAGTCTTTGATAGAATATCTTTAAGCTTTTGGGACGATGGCGAGTTTGGCTGAGTTTGGTGTCGCTTTCCTGCAGTAGGACTTTCAGCTAATGGTAAGTGATTCTACGTGCTCCAAGGCTTTACCTCTTACGCTTTTTATAATCTTCCGCCTCACACTTCCTTCTGGCGTATCCTCGACCTCGAGAATGATTTCGCTTAGATCACGGAAATCTGTACCGCTTTTTACAATGAGAACGTCCTCATCCAGTTCTGCACCTAAGACTTCTTGCTTGGCATCGTATCCATCCCACGAAGTTACACCTCTCGACGCGTAGTAAAGATGGTCATGTCCACCGAGTATGATATCCGCTCCATGGGTTGAGACAAAATCAGACCTCTGATGGGCTGGTGAAAGTGCACCGATGCTTTTTGCGAGCAAGATATCCTGGAAAAAATATCGGTCATTCGAAATCCAGACTTTATCCAAATATACGAAGGACGAACATTTGGTATACTAGAGTCGAGTATTAACTGTTTGTCCAAAAATAACGTCTAAAGCCTTACCGGGAATGGGTGAGCGCGATTATGAGATCGCATTGGTACTCGCCATCGGGGTTTCTCAAAAGTTGCGACAGCTCCATAGCTACTTCTGCCATGTTCTTGTGCTTGAAACTTTCCGGCCAGGCAGGAACAGTTGCAATCCACTCGCTGCAGTTTTGTTTGTAAGTTTGCGCTGGACCTGGTGATAGAACGAGCCGCTCACCTTTCCACCAGCCCAATGAACCCAATTCGGACACCGCATCGCTCGAGAATATGAAACTCGTGTAAATATTCCGGTACTTTACCAGTTGCTTCGTCAACTATGTTACTGAGGAGCCAGGGCTTCCGTGTTTGGGGTCAGGGAGAAGCACAAACAAAAGTACCAGAATAGAATCGTACAAATTTAGTGCTGTCCAGCAGCTTCGTCAACTGCGGGTAACCTACACGATATCAATGCTCATGATATGCCAACTTATTGTGTCCAGAGTTTGCTTACCGAAATCAAACTCGTGGTTTCCTATATTTAAGCCCGAGTAAACATATTGAACTGTATAAGATTATGCGATGTATGCGTACCTACGACAGCAACGTCAGGAGCAAGCTCATTAATCACAGGAACCTATACAGGAATATACGGCCAATCAATAATGTCTGCCAACGTTGATTAAACAATTTCACCATGTGGCTGCCGCGAGTTATCGAACTCTCTACGGATGGCGCAAACAAGTCACCGGAGAACAGTACAAGCCCCTCTGAAATCCTATTGTGCTGCTTCGGCCATGCCTCGCGAAGATTGTCGAGCATAGCTGCAAACTGTGTAACATCGATTGTCCGGCCACCAGAGAGCTTTTGCGTGCTGACTCGGTAGACATCGTTAAAGTGAAGGATCGGAAGAGTTGCTCGCATTCTGAAATTATCAAGGTGGCAACTTTAACGCTACCGGAATGCGGGGAACAATACAGTGGAGAAGAGTGCATTTATCGTAGCTCGGTTCTATAGGCCTTTAATCCCGAGTTCTACGGAGCCCGCTGTGTAAGCGAGAATCCAAAAGCGAACTGAAAAGCACCACAGATATTTTACATGCCTGCACTTGTTCTCAGGCATACTTAGCATTAACGTCAACGAGAGTGACATCGATGTCAATTCAGATAGCAATGCATGCTCAGGAAGACAGATCGAACCAATGTTCTTTTTAAAGAAGACCACGTCGACTTCCACGTACACCTGAGAGTGGCACATGGAGGTCAGCGCACTAGGTATAGCTTATGAATAGAATCCGATGGCAGCGCGTTTCCGAGTTGGCATGCGCGTCCTTCCTCGAAACGGAATCAGTTTAATGGCTTCAGAGCACCACGGTCTGTCCATGTCTTTCACAGTAATGGACTAGCTTGAGAATGATCACAGCACATGATCTCTACCATGAGCTTGAACAGCCGAATCTGAGTCAATCTCGGGCCACGAGGTTTCAGGAAGTGCAAAGTTGCGATCTTTCCCAAACTTCGATGTTGACTATGAGAGCGGTCCAAGGGTAACTTTTTCGCAATTTGTGCACAAAAATAGACAAGAGGCGACAAGAGGTACGCAAGGAAATGCTTAACGGGATATAACGGCCAAGAAGATGATTGACCGCCCAGTTCCACAAGGCCAAAAGATGAAGTACCTAAGGTACTGTGCGTAGAGTTTCAGGAAACGCCTTCTAGGATTAAGCCAAGTAACCTAAGGTTCTCCAAGTTGCACGCCATTGGCAATGTGACATGGGTAGGAGCACCACCAGGGAATAAATCGTGTATCCCTATGTTCAATATGAGTAAAAGGAGCACTGTAATAGCTAGACTCTTCAAATTGGTTTTGGCATTTGGAAATTTGGAGCGCACCAGTCTACGAGAGTCTAAAATGCGAGCATCAGAACATGTTGTAGGAACGATGGAGAAGGAGTCTGAGTCGTCGACTTTCAACTTGGCGTGAAGGAAAAGGGTTCAAGCAGCGCGAACGTACGTTAATTACCATGAGTCTCCAAAAATTCTGAACAGCGAAGGTAACCGAAAAGGACGGCCGACTTTCTCGGCCGTAACGTACGGCGGAGGTGCTCTGGTTTCTCCCCATCCCTGCAGTATGACGCGCCAATTATCCACTGCGTGTGAGCTACTCGAGCAGCATCCGCAGCACCTCTCACAGCGATAAACATGCCCTGCATCAACGTTGATTGCGATGCAATCAATATAGCGTATTTAGTTTTCTAGCGCTGAGTTTCGATAATTTAGACTGTAGAATACGAGATGAGAAGGGTAGTCTCAGCAAGACAAGGGGGTGGAAGAAGCTATTAGTATTAGTTATTTTCACTTTTCAGTTCAAAGTTCAAAGGAAGACATTTCCGAAGTCCAGGTGTCACGTGATCAAGGGCAAGTTCCCATCCGCGTGCGATTGTGATCGTCTCCCGGAAATATCTTCGCGCGTTGAACTTTGATCCGGTCCCGCGATGGCTGAAGCATTTAACTATGTAGTAGTCTCGAAAGCAATGTTGTGTGCCTATAAAATGGCCGACTGGACTTTTCAACTATCCTTTGTCCTCGCCATTCAACGATGTCAGACATTATCGCCCCCTTCCTTCCAGTCAAGCGATTCGTAGCGTCACTTCCATTTGCAGCATGCATACTTTGCCTAGCCTTATTGAAGATTGTTCTCTTTTTCATCGCATACTTCAAAGCTCGCGGTCAATTTCCTGGACCTCCAGTCTCTAGCTTATGGTCTGGCAATCTTTCGGAGTCAATGGCTGACGATGTTCACGACAAATGGCGCACTTGGCACCGAAAATACGGACCTGTATTCCAGACGGTTGGTTAGCCGTATTTGCGTATTATTGATGATACTTACTCAATATAAAATTCCGTGTATGTAGTGGAATGGCCTCTTCTCTCGCGTAGTCTATGTTGGTGACCCGCGTATCATCAGCAAAATTGGGAATAGTAACTGGCCGAAATTCCATGCACAATATTCTGGATTTAAACCACTTAGCGGGTCGGCCTTGTTCGCTCAAATGGACCAAGAGAGGTGGAAGCAGCAACGGAAGGGTCTCGCCCCAGCCTTCCAGCCGATCACTGTCAATGACCAATACCCCATGTTACAAAGGTACCTTACCGTAAGTCCTAACATGCCATGGGACGTTGATACATTACTGAAAGCCTTAATCACAGGAATTTATCGAAGTGATCGACGCAGCTGCGAGAAGCGGCTCTGTAATTGATCTGTCTACTTTGCATGTGTTGCTTACGCTGGATTTCGTCGGAGAAGTGGCTTTCGGCGCCGAGTTGAATGCTCTTCGCGACGGAGCCAGCTGCAGAATCTTGCAGATCTTCCACGATATCCTGCCTGAGTTGATGAAGTGTGGATTATTCCCGCTTCGCTCTCAAATCCCTATCATGGAAAGCACGCGGCGCATGCACCGTTCTATAAAGGAGTTGCGTGGTATGGCGCATGTCGCCGTCAAGAATGCCAGGTCCTCTGAAGAGAAATCAGCTGTTCAACCTGGGAGCAAGCGGATCTATGAGATCTTAGCCCAGTGAGTCAGTTGGCCTTCGGCTTCTTTCTCGATCTGACATGGTTTTATCCTGTTATTAGGCAGAGACGTGCTGATGGCACTTACCTGTTTTCCCCTAAAGAATTAGTCGATAACTACGGTAAGCCGATTTGCATGCCAGTACAAGCATAGCTGACCAGTTTGGAAGTCACTTTCCTCGTGGCAGGCGGTGATCCTACAGCTCACGCGATCACCTTTGCTGTTTACGAGACTGTCAGTAAATTTGAAATTACTTCATGTTCTCGTTACTTTCTTACCATTGCTATTTCAGCTACGGAATCCGGAGATTTTGGCCAAAGTACGCACCGAACTCGATGAGGTGCTCCCGCCGGACAGTGAAATACCTACCGTGGAACAGGCTTCAAGACTACGGTACCTCCACCTGGTGATCAAAGAAACGCTTCGATACAACGGACCCGGATTCGGGACGTTTAGATACACGTCAAAGGACGTCGAAATCAATGGAGTTACGTTACCAGCGAATACAACGCTTGCACTATGGAATCCTCAAGGTGAGGAAGTAATATTGACGTACAAAGCGTCTTAGACTGACATGTACGCAGTGCATCGTGACCCCAAGCTGTGGGGCCCGGACTCAGACGAGTTTAGGCCTGAACGTTGGCTCGTGTCTACAGGCTCAACGTCCTCGGAGTTCTCAAGATTCATTCCTCCTCCTGGATCCTATTTCCCCTTTTCCTATGGACCCCGAAAGTGTCTCGGTCAGTCAATCTGCAGTCCGGTCTTCGAATGTCACTCATTGTCATCTAGGAGAGGGACTGGCCATACTTGAGATGTCATTGACCCTGGCGACTTTGTTCAAGCGATATGACCTGAAGCTTCAGGAAGGATTTGTCATGGAGTTCCTTCCGTCCTTTACACTATGCTCGAAGAACGGTCTTCCTGTCACAGCGCGTGTTCGAGCACAAGTGTAATTGTGACGACAAGGGAATTACGCTAGAGCACTCGCTTTCGGTTATGGTAAACCTAGGCATAAAAGGCAACGCATGTATTCAACAAGTAATGATCGACTTTAATTTGAAAAAGTAGAAAGCAAATATAGTCCATAAATCTGCTCACGGGATGGATATAACCAAGCCAGAAAGCCAGAAGCTCTGAGATGTACTTGCCTGAGACAGCTATTTGTCGTTTCTTAGCGTCGATGTTGTAAGACGCACGTCAGGACTCACCGAAGCCACCGTCACCCCGGAGCCGTTGACTGAATCGCCTCGGAGGTTATTCCAAAATAAGGTTCTTTTGCCGTGGATTTCGGGCGGAGAGAGTGCCTTCCTTCATCTTGGCGATGCTGCACATCATCCATTCGCTGGCATCGAATGGACGTCGGATTAACATAGTTGGTGGCATTAAGCTTCGGAGAAGGCTTCGAAACGGGTATCCATGCATTATGTTTGAGCAAGTCTTGAGGACCGACGTCTAGTCGAGACTCGACGAGGAGAGATCAAATCTTAATCCCTCATATGATATTATAAAGCAATTGGCCGTGGGGGCGAATTTTTTACATGACACGCGATGTTTTCGTTCGGCTGCATATCTCGTGTATACCACGAAGCATTAGTAGTAGTGTTGTTTATTATTTAATAGCTTTCATACAATCATACTGGGAATCTGGGACCTCAATGCAGTTAAACCAGCCGTGAGAACCGTTAACCAGGAAAAGCGATTGCATAGTAGAGTTTTAGAAAATAACACGTGTCAGCGCAGTAATCCTTTCACACCACCTCAACTTACTTACTTAGAAGAACTGGTTTTGTCCATTCACAACCTTAATGCAATTCCAGGTTTGAGAGACGATGGTCGGGATGGCAAGCACGTTTGTGCTCCACGATCGTACAGAACATGCATCGAAGCACTACTGAGCCTTCTGTCTTGTCTCCCTATTTTTCAGGCGTCGTGTTCCATAGGAAGTGGCAAAGGCGATCGAGTCGTCCGATCAAGTATGATGAATCGTTGGCGGCGGCGCAATGCTTGTCGATCATGTCATGTCAAACGTCTAATCCAGATGTACTTCAGTGACGATTTCTCCTGCGCCTCCAACCTCTTTCCCCAACGCTCTCCCCACGAGTGTCTAGGTTTTCAAGGCGAAGGCACTCTTCAAGTGCAACAATGGGGATCTTACAGGCTGACCTTCGCGAAATCACACGGTTTGCACGCAGATGCCCATTCGCAGCAACTGAACGTGAGTATAATCTTGTGGGTTTTACACGACAAAACGTTTTCTTACACATTATGGAATAGACACTGCTCGTAATTTTGCATATGCTGCGGCTGGGATGTATCTATGGGAGGGTGTGCAATGGATACTATACGACATCCGCCTTCAATTCATCCTCGTTTTCCGGCTGTGCCTATTTCTCCGTGAAACTCCTCGAGTTCTTAGTAAATGGCGACACACACCATCCCCAGGGCCTAATCTGATTTCTGATCCAACTCAGCTAAACCCTGAACGAGGCTCTCCTAGTCGGCAACCATCCCCGACACCGTCATCCCCTACAGTGCCGCCTGTAGCAATTAGCTTTCTTGACACTCTAGCCCAAGTTACTTACGTTTCTCTCCGCACCTGCACACACCTGGCACTTTTTTCGCTACTTGCGATCCTCAACCAGGATGTGCCTAATCTCGGCAGTGTGGCTTACGTCAACGCATACGCCTCTTCTTCGGAGAGTGATTTCACCGAAGTGGCTACTTCATGCAACACGTGGTATTCATTATCTCGCTTCTCTTCGGTGAGCAAGTGTCTCATCCGTATCAATAGTAATTATACACTAAACTTCATGCTTGATGTTGACTGACAACACCGTAGTTGGTATCGCTGCTACCTTTTGCGATATCAAACATGCTGCACGCTCTGCGAGTGTAAGGCGCTTTTGTTCCTTCATTTAAGTGGCATTGCAACATCTAACTCCTTTCCTCCGCGCCTGTCGTGACAAAAGTATATCTGTTTGGTATGCTCCTTTTACTTTTTGCATGGAAAAAAATGGAACCAACTCTAGTTGCTAAAGGGTTACGTGTAGAAGCAGCAAAGAGCCGTCCAGTCGTACCCGATCTGCGAGCAGTTCTCAGAGCAGTGCGGCCAAAGTAACTTCTCAGTATATTTTGAGGATGGTCATTCTATCATTGTGCATGATACTGCATTTCGCGCAATATATCTTCATTGCTTTGATTGGGACGTCCAGGGATGACGACACAGAACTCCTGAGTAGTCAAAGCAGTCGGAATCTTCTCATTGTCGCCTTTGCTTATTGTAAGTTGTCTTCTCAGATCGAGCATTGAAGACCATATTGAATATTTCAGTTGTATCTGTTGATATCCTAGCAGTAGGATTAATACTTTTCCGGATTTTTTGTTCGCCTGTCACGCCAGCTGACTCGTTGGGAGACGTTGGCCACGACGACGGAGAGATCCGGTTCTCCACGTTACCTTTACGCTCCGACAGTGATTCGACAAGGGGAAACGCCTTGACCTCCGGAGATGGCTCTCGACACTCGCTGTCTGAAATGTCCTTCGCGGATAAAAGTAACAGTTTCATCCTTAGCGAAGAGTACGAAACGAGAGGATCCTTTGGCTTTGATTTCAAGAGAGATTTTGGGGACTACTGGATGCAGCCTGCATCACATGATGAAATCGCTGCGGTTAGTAATGAAGGCAACAACGGTTCGCATTGCTCGTCATTCGCCAATACGAATGGCCATGGTGATCGCCGAAGCCCAGAAGCTTGTAGGTCTAGGAACAAGACCGCAGCACAATGGGAATCCTGCGCATCAGAGAGACCCAACAAGATCGAAAGCGGGCTGGAAAGTGATGGAAATAATAGCTCGTTGCTTCGAGAGGTAATATCTCGGCGAGTAGGGTGGGCTTATTTATGCATCGAAGGCGGGCGCCAGGGTCTCCCTTGGTCAATGTCCGTCGTGTTAATGAAGATTGGGGTGCTTGTGAGTCTTCAACTTATCTGAGACTCTGACGTCGCTTTGGTCAACTCTCTGTTCATCTCCGCTTCTTTACTTCGCTTCTTCTTTACAACAGCTTCTCTCATGCCATATTCATCCATTTTTTCTCTTACTTCTTCGACTGCTATGGCGTAGGGACTGACATTTCCATGCAGATTTCCATTTTATTTAGTGACACGCGTGGGTACAACGTCAATGACTTCTTCGTCAATGACATACTTCCGTGAGCTTTACCTCTAACAACTATTTGATAGATGGTGGCCAGGTGACAGTTGAAAATTTTGTAAGTTTATCATCAGACGTGAAGACATGCGCTGATTCCAGCCTGTCACCTGTTTTACATTTCTAGCAATATATGTCCTTTCTTGCACCCGCTCGTGAGTTGCATCGAGAATTTTTATACATGTGCCACGGAAGATTGACGAACCACTTGTGCCTGCTCGTTTGCGGCCTACACAGTCGTCATCATGCAAGTCTATTCATGTTTTAACTAGTGGCAGTGCGGCTAATTGAATTGTGCAGTACCATTGCGTCTGGTCGTCTCTTCCTGCACATCACACAAGCATCGCCAATAGGAACTGGATTTTTGGAGCCGTACGTTTTTTGACAGACATCCCCTGCTTCTTCGGACGACGACATGAACGTCAATGTGTTATTAGATCACCACGGCCTTCCTCACCTCAATACCCTTCCTTTATCGACCTTACTTCGATAGAGGACACCCGTCATAAGAGACGGCTGTCATTCCAGACGCAGCCAAACGTCAACAGTAGATCAGTTACTGTACCATCCTACGTCGACCGCATGTTGTACGCACGACGTGTACGACGCGAAATGGACGCCGCTGCAGGTGGCGCGATTCGCACAATAGGCGGCTCGATAAATCTTGCTGCTCCTGCAGCTGCCTTGACTCGACCAGAAAATGGTCGACAAAAAACGAAGGAGCCAGGCGCAGCACGTAACCGAGGTTTTTCATGATAGTATGTAAACTAAAGCACAGATGGAGTACTTGATATGGCCTTGCAAACGGTAGTTAGATAAAACAATTCTTCCATAGTGACTGTTGTCGAAAGTGACATGACGTTGTTGTGTTGCGTTGTGTATCAATTTTGGTCAATGTATTTTTGCGCGTAAACTGACGGGCGGGATTAACATATTGTATTTTCATCTCTCAATTAAAAGTCACTTTCGCATGTTTCATTTCAGCGGTAATACCACCGACAGATGAGTCCGAGCCAAGAAAGTCTCATGCACTTCATTAGTCGGCACGTGATGACATTTCAAGCGCGACATGTAAGGTGAACCATGACCTCGACTTCCGTGCAAGACATTTCTATGCGTGAAGCCAAAGTTGAATCATAGCCACAGCGTTTACTTGTTCTAGAATTCGTGAGTATGGAGAACACTTCAATTACGCAAGCTGATAGTCCTCGGCTGGTAAGTGCTTAAAGAGCCAGAACGTAAAAGAGAACCACTAAACATACTCAGGGTTTTTTGCCCAGCAACCCTTACACATCCCTGACTTTCATTTCGATGTCAAATGTCTTTTTTCTCTCTCTTTGCCTGTTCTCTTTTAAACAAACGCTAGCTCCTCTTGTTGTTATGCATCCGCTGTAATAGTTTATTATAATGGTATACTCAGTCTAGAAAACGAGACCTGAAAGATGCAGCCGAGAGAATGTCGGATTGTATCACAGTATCTACGCACTTCAATGAGATCTGAGTGTATTGATCGGGTGGGAACATCCAGTCCCTATCAAAGAGGTACATTAATCAGTAGTAGGATTCCAGTTTTCTCAATTAGTTACGGCAGCAGTAAGACTGAGTAGATATCATGGTGTATAACCGACGCTCGGAGGAGGGGGGGAGGGGGGGGGGATAAAATTGACCTCTATCCTGCGAACGTTTCTAGCGTGGCGGTTACGCATTGAGGCAATGTCCGTGCTCCAGTCAGTTTCCTTCGTACCCTCCAACCGATATCTCAGGCCTCATTGTATGTTAGAGCATGCTAATAATTGTGTTGTTACTTGACTCTTTCGATATGCTGCTGCCCAACGGTCTAGATAATGAAGTGTTTCGACTAACTTCCCTATATGTAATCGGTTCCAGCAATTCACTATTATTACATACGTTCCATCTTAACACCGCTTCCCAGCTGAATACTCCACTATCTTTCACAGAGATCTATCTAGCCAAAGTGATTTGAACTAGCCATGCACATTATTTCCACTGTCAACTGTAAGTCTTCTCTGCAAAAGGCAAGAAAGTACCCACCCAAATTGCATTCATTTTTTTCTTTTATAAATAGCATCAGAACTCAAAAGTACGCGCCGTTTTACCCGGTAGCACACAGTAATAGACTTAAATAGACGGATCATAACAAAACTGTATTCATCGTTAACCTGTTGAAGTTGCGGCACCATGCGGGCTGGACAACGCATCTCGTTAGGTATCCGAGGAGACAAATGCAGTCTCGTAAGTGCGGGTATCCGACGACGTAAGCGCTAGCTTAGCCTTCAATACTTTCAACTCTCAAGGTTCACTCGCGTTTTGATCGGGTGACTTGATAGGACAGGAGTAATAACACGCACACCGTGCTTTGACCGGAATGACCTCTTCCATGTCTCTTTGTTCTTCTCTGTCATTGTAAACAGGCTAGAACAATTGACGAACGCGCCAATACAGGTCGGTCTCATTTTCGGGCGGGACCACGGAGATATCGAACATCGTGTTAGTCTTGTGATACTGACTGATATTGAAACCACCAATTTTCCCATTGACACTGAAGGTAAAAGCGAATCTTATTGAAATAGGTGTTAGAGCGCCCTCAAAGAACAACTCAGCGTCTAATATCAACACTATAATTTTATTGTTAGTTAGCCTAGACCATTGATTGGACGAGTTATCCTCCAGCAACTTAAAGTAATAAAGGCAAGTCACCTCCTTAAAACCAGCGGAAAATTTTGCGACCCGGCATCCAGAACTTTCCAATCGGTCTTCCTGGCAAGTTATCGTTGAGCCTTGCTATGTATCCTGGACCCTCTTTTCACTATTATGCAGTAGAGTGTCCTGTTTAGGCCGTCTTACTTCTCAGTTGACCCCCATGTGTAACGAAGCTGTCAAGTGCATAGCAGATTCGCAATCAAATTTACTCTCGGTTCTCCTTTTTCTTGTATTTTCCCACTCCTGGCAGTATTAGTTTTCTTTGTGCCGGCAGGGTGAGCAATCGAACCATAGCTCGTCACTACCGACTGATACTAGTACATAATGATTATTTGGAAGTTAGCAAATGTAATATTCTTCCGATTTCTACGCTTAAATTCTATTCTTATCTCATCCCTTCAATTCCCCTGTTGATCTCCGAGGGCGGTATAAATAGAAGGAGTAAAGATGAACCCGCGCTTATACCTAATTGCGAAGCTAATCTCCTCCGATTTCGTAGAACTGAGCAACATTGTCCTCTGTCTTATCGATATTCAAGCTATTACGATCATCATACGAAAGGAATCGCAGATAATGGAGGAAGTCACAGTAATGCGACCGTACCCGCGTTCCCAGGAGGATTCGCCAATCTAGGCTATACGGAAGGAGTCAACGACCTCACAGCTTCCTCATTATTACAAAACTGAATGTCCTTCCAGAATATTGGCTCCGCGATGAGAGAACCCCCAGGTATCGAAACTGTATTCCTTGAGAAAGAGCATGGTGAACTCTCATCTTCCATGTAATACAAGGGCGCTCCCTGAGCTTCTACCGCCATAGTCGGATGCTTCGCTGATCTATTCAGTTCAGAAGAACTTCTATCTAAATAGTTTCGCAGTTTTCCATGTTGCAGAGTTTTCAGGATTGAGCTCCTCGGTTGCACTATACAAGATTCGGTTATCCGAAAGACGCATCCAGTAGTCGAGAGCCTTTGCTAACCCCACGGAGCATTTCCATGTTCCCCACAAGTCAGGGTCGATGAGGTATTCCATGTGCTTCCTGGAATCCTGACAGTTTATCCTCGTTCACGGGGTGACTACCTGTGTACTTCTCGAGGTTTGGCCGGCCTTCCGTTCCTCCTGGCCTTGGTCAATAGAACCTTAATGCACTGGCCGACTTTGCTTCACCGGGGATCTCCTAATTCAGAGAGATCTGTAAGTTTTCTCAGCTAATATTCTGCAATGAGACAAGCTTGAACAGGATTCAATCACAACTGCCTGCAGACAGAACGGAAAGCCTTATCAGCTTGTTTCCCACTTTCCAGGTGAACCTAGCTCTCAAGCTATGGCAAAGGACTACGAGAAGTACCACCCCCTCAGGACCAACAGCGACGATGGCATCGCAGAGATCCTCGAGCCTCCAGTCCTGTTAACATTCTTCGGACTGAGTGTTGATACTCCTTGGCGCCGTCGCTTGGTGTACATCATCATATCCGTTCAAGGACTTCTGAACATTGTCCTCGTCGCTGTCGGCCTGTATTACTATGCTCACAGAGGTCCTTCCAACCCGTTATTTCCCCAAGCCCTGTATTGTGAGCAATCAGTACTCACATCTATTATTGCCTTCATAACATACGTTGCTTTCTTAGCGCCTGCACAGGATGTAGTCTCATTTAAGGTCCAGAAGTTCTACGAGGGTTTCGGCGAGAACATCACAATCTACCAGAAAGGAACTTCCGACGAAGTTGACAAAGCTTGGGAAGACCTTTACAGTTGTAAGTACTTTAGAGGTTCCGATATGTTGGATCAATGTTGGTGAATGGTTTTCCTTGCTCTGCAGTCGGCATATCGGAGGTCCCCCGAAGCGTTGCCGAGAAAATGCCAAACAAGACCTATCCACTCGTTAGTTCAGATGGGAATTATATCACTGAACTTGATGTCTTCCACCAACTTCACTGTCTGGTACGTACTCTCCTTGTGGTATGTAGCCATTCCGTGGTGCTTGAATCTGATGCCTAGCATAGAACACACTGAGAATGGCACTCACTCCGGACTATTATCGAAAGAAGAATCTCACCGACCTCGAAAAGTCATTCCTCGAGATTCCTCACGCTTATCACTGTTTGGACGCCCTCCGCCAATCTCTGACGTGCAACGCCGATATCGCCACGTATGTCTGGCACTGGGACCCGGAGGACGAAATGGTAAAGCCAACAGGAAATGTAGTACACAGTTGCCGTGACTTTGATAAGCTGAAGGAATGGGCCATCGAGAATCATATCCACTCTCACTTTGATAATCAGGTGTACACTGAGGACGACTTGGAAGTTCCTATCATTCGAGCTTGACGTGGGTTCATAAGATGATTGTTTGTCGCCATGGGTTGTAGCATCAAATTGGCGCGTGTATCACGAAGTAGAAAAAGAATGTAATGTGTACAGTGTTCGTTTGTGTGTGTCGAGTGGCATCAAAGAAAGAGACCAGTCACCAAGCAGGGACAAGCAATTAAAAAATGTGATTACGTAATATTACTGCTGGCTCATTTTGTGCTGTTGACCGAAATCGTGGCAAAGCATGTCCAGGGTGGTGACTCGATCACAGCCTTTTCTTGTCCACTGCCAGCATTCACCTTCACGTATATTCTGTAACCGACTCTTTCTTATCTCTGCTCGCCTACACATCCATACGTGTGCAAAAACAATGGCGGATGTCCATCCAGTCTCGTCGTCTGCGCATCCTGTCCAGCTCCCTGCCCTGCAGAACAAACATGCTGAGGTCGGTTCAAATGGTGCCAATGGTGTAAAGAAGGCGAAGGACAAGAAAGCGAAACCGCAATTCGACGCACAGCATCCTCTAGAGGTGTGATCATTATCTATCGTTATGTTTCGAAGTCCTCGATTTGACAGCTAATATGCGTCACACAGATGCAACCACCTCCGGAATACATCGATCATAGAATCAAAATATTCGACGAATTAAAAGCAGAATATGACAAGTTTGTCAAAGGCATGCAATACTAATTTATCTTGCTAGTCGATATCCTTATCCCATCATACTAGCTCAACCTCGCGAAGAGATTATCATAACTTTACGCGATGGCACAGAACGCAAAGGAACGAGCTGGGAAACATCTCCAATGGATATTGCCGCCGCAATCCAGAAGAGCATGCCGGAGCGGTTGGTGATAGCAAAGGTAAGTCAGACACATCCGTTACTCTACTAACTAAATGACTGTCCCTCTTTCAGGTAGATGGTGAGCTCTGGGATTTAGAGAGGCCCCTAGAAAAATCTTGTAAACTAGAGTTGCTCGACTTTGAGAGTCGAGACGGTACGTTCCCTTACTTGTGCGTCGCTGTTCATTATGTAACGGTTCAGGTAGGTAAACAAGTATTCTGGCATTCGTCCGCGCATGTCCTCGGAGAATCTGCCGAAAGGCACTATGGCTGTCATCTCTGCATGGGACCCCCAACCGATGATGGTTTCTTCTACGAGATGGCCAATACTGGAAGGTCTGTGTCTCAGAACGATCGACAAGTCATTGCTTATGTCTATTTGTCAGGCCGGTCGTAGCATCAGACTATCCTGTTCTAGAGAAGTTGGCCGAGAATGTCATGAAGGATCGACAAAAGTTTGAACGCTTGGTAGTGTCAAAGGAGAAGCTACTTGAAATGTTCCATGTATGCGATTCTGCATGCTATCATTTTTTTTCCCTTACCAATAATTGGCAGTATAACAAATACAAGAAGTACTTCATCGAAACCAAAGTACCTGATGGCACGTCAACGACGATATACCGATGCGGTCCGATGATAGATTTGTGTGTTGGGCCCCACATTCCGCACACTGGGAGGATCAAAGCATTTATGCTAACAAAGGTGCGAAATGTGTACGTGTTGGTGCGGACGGGACTAACTTTAGTCCAAGAATTCATCATCTTTCTTCCTCGGAGATGCGAACAACGACTCACTGCAGCGACTCTACGGAATCTCTTTCCCAGACAAGAAGCAACTCTCTGAATACAAGGTCTTCCTGGCTGAGGCCGCCAAACGGGACCATCGCAAAATCGGCAGGGTAAGGAAGACGCTGAACACAATAGGAGGATACTGATATCGGATTAGGATCAAGAATTATTCTTTTTCAACGATCTCGCGCCTGGTAATGCTTTCTGGCTTCCGCACGGAACGCGAATCTATAACGCTCTTTTGGAGCATATGAGGGTTCGTTTCCTTTACTGCGTTCTTCCTTATAGGCTCATGGGTAAAATTTTAGGGACAATATTACAAGCGCGGTTACCAGGAAGTTATCTCGCCCAATATGTTCAATGCGAAGCTCTGGGAGCAATCCGGTCATTGGCAGAATTACAAGGACGACATGTTCTCCCTAGATGTTGAGAAAGAGAAATGGGCGCTCAAGCCAATGAATTGCCCCGGTCATTGTATAATCTTCGACTCACGGGACCGTAGCTATAAGGAATTACCCATCAGGATGGCGGAATTCGGCATCGTACACCGGAATGAAGCGAGTGGGGCACTGTCTGGTTTGACGAGAGTGCGACGATTCACGCAAGACGACACGCACGTGTTCTGCATGGAATCTCAGGTGCGTGGATCAACCCTTCTGGCGATCGGACATTGATTACTCCCGGTTTAGGTTACCCAAGAAATCAATGCCCTATTCGATTTCATGCAGCACACATATGGTCTATTTGGCTTCGAATTTCACTTGGAGTTGTCTACTAGACCAGAAAAGTTCCTGGGTAGCATTGAAACTTGGGATAGGGCTGAGACGGTGTGTTCACCCCCTTCCAAGCTCTTCATTTGTTCCATTCTCATATACTCTTCCATTCCCACTAGCAATTGCGCGATGCCCTCGAGGCGCAATATTCCGGAAAGTGGGAGTTGAACCCTGGCGATGGCGCCTTCTATGGCCCTAAGATCGATGTCACCATCCGTGATGCATTGAAGCGGTCCTTCCAATGCGCTACTATTCAGCTGGACTTCCAGCTACCCGAACGATTCAATCTTAGGTATCGCTCCGCGGATGACAATGAGAATACCGAAAAGCCACGCCCTGTTATGATCCACCGTACACTCCTTGGGAGCTTGGAGCGGTTTACCGCCATTATTACCGAACACTTTGCAGGGAAATGGTTTGTATCTGATCCACCGTATCTCTGGTTTGGTGTTATCTGACCGCATCATTGTTCATATGATAGGCCTTTCTGGATATCTCCGCGCCAGGTTATTGTTATTCCGGTCGCTGGACGCAACGTGAGTACCCATCAACCACAATCATCAATCTTTACACAAATTTTCCTCATCGTACCTTCATGCATATAGAACGAATACGCCATCGAAGTTGCCACGAAGCTCTCAGACCTGAACCTCTTCACGGACGTCGACACTTCTGACAATACCCTGCCGAAGAAGATCCGCAATGCAGAAATTGCACAGTACAACTTTATTCTCGGTAAGTGTGGGACTTTTGCCTCCGCCTTAATTCCACTGACTGACACGTGACTGAATGGGTAGTTGTGGGTGAGAACGAGCAGAGTGGCCGTGCTGTCAATGTGCGCAACCGCGATGATGCGGGCACGAAGAACCAGGGCGAGATGATTCCCCTTGATGTTATTGCAGACAAGCTCGTTCGTTTGAAGGCTTCAAAGAGCTTGTTGAACAAGCTAGAGTGATTAGATAATAAATGACGTTGATCGTTATATGTAGTCATGTAGTTATACACAACCATTTAGGGGTAGAACGTAGATTAGCTGTCGAAGAAGGCCTCGTATTGATGTCATTCGCTCTTTGCTATCGACTAATTATCAAGAAGCCCACTTATCAGAGCCTTAAGGAAATACAGTACTTCAAGTTGAAGCAGTGGTCTTTATGCACAAGCTTTCTCGTGATGAGTTTTTACAGACGGGGTAAATACATTGATGACCATTGTACATTTCATGAACGGGAATTTGCTTTACAAACATGCAACACATCACAAAGTGCGACTACCAACTAAACCTAAACGACCGAATAACCGCAGTGATTGGGGAAATGGACTACGCGTAAATGATTGGGATTTCCAAGTCATCTTCTACATAAACCTTGTTGTCAAAGAAAGAATGGAGATGGTGTTCCTTCGCCCAGTCGACGATCCTGTCATAGTCCTTGCAGGTGTGAACTACGTTGCCGGTAGGTTTTACCATCTCATCTACAGGGTCCCAGTGCCAGACGTACGTGCTGATATCGGCGTTACAGGTCAGAGACTGGCGGAGAGCATCCAAACAGTGATACGCGTGAGGTAGCTCGAGGAATGACCTTTCGAGATCAGTGAGGTTCTTCTGCCTGTAGTAATCAGGCGTTAAAGCCATTCTCAACGTATTCTATGTAAGGAGTGTTAATAAATGTGATGTCAGGCAGGTTGAGATACTCACCAAACAGTGAAGCTGGTGGAATACATCGAGTTCGACGATGTAATTGCCCCCAGAGCCAGCGATCGGGTAAGTCTTGTTGACTAGTTTCGCTGCCGTTCCCCTGGGGATCTCAGAAATACCGACTGCATGGGCGGTAGTAAGTAGGAGCTCTCTTTGAATGAACTATTCAAAGTTGCCTACAGCTGTAGAGGTCTTCCCAGACCTTGTCAACCTCGTCGGAGGGGTTGCCCATGTAAATGGTTTTGTTCGCGCCAAAACCCTCGTAGAACTTATGGACTTTGAACGAGAGCACATCCTGGGCCGGCGCTGGTGTGATTCGTCACTTTACAAGCAGCACTATACTACTACGCTCGGGACTTACAATACGTTAACTGGGGGAAAATAGGATTGTTCGGGCCCCTCCGCGAATACAGGTAAAAACCAGACCCAATGAGTATGATGTTGAGCAATGTTTGTGCGATGAAGATGACAGTGAGGATGCGACGGCGCCAGGGAGAACTACCTGGCGCAAGGCTCCAACGAGGTCGCAGAGCTTCAACCTCGTCGATGCCTTCGTCGCTGGAGGACATGAGGGGGCGCTTGTCTACATCGTCTTGGAATTTCCCCATGATGGCTTGTGAGAGTGATCCTGGGGAACTTGGGGAAATTCAGGTAAACACCAAGTTTTAGAACTTCAGACAATGTAGACAAGTGTACATGTGCCCTTTCTCCTCGGTGTTTGGCAAAGTACGAGAGTGCGTCGGAGCTCGGCGCGTAGAGTGTTTCCGTGATAGGAACACCTCCTATCAATATTTTGCTTCTCTATATGGGACGGTCAGGACGCGGATACTTCTGAAAGGGTCCGAATCGCATCGTCGGCCATGCTTCCAGTCCTTACCGCAAACTAACCAACTGCGGGACGAACATCCAAGAATGCAACCGGAAGTCCTCCATCCGTGGAGAGCGGATTCGCGATAGCGATGATACATTGACAAGTCTTCCCGCCCCGCTCGCACTGTGCGATTGCAACACCTCTTCGTTAGGCGCTTAAGGGAGGTCATCTGTTCGTTTGGGAGTATTGGCTAATGGAACGATGCGGGCTATTTTAAAAGAAGAAGAATAGCAAGTTTAATCGATGCCAATCGTACCAGCATATGCGTTAAAACGCCTCTACTTACCTTTCATATTGGCGTTGGGCTGTCACTGTGCAGTGTGTATGTATGGTGTGGAGTGATTGAAGAAGGTAGTCGCGTGACTCGCATAGCACGTGTTCGCTCGAACGGAATTTGCAATTGTGCAACCTATTCTAACTATCCATGTTCGTCACCTTTCTCGCTGATCGTGATAACACTTCAGTTGCCGGTCTCGCATTAAAGAGGTTCTTCTCAAGTAATGAACTAAAATTCCGGTGGAACTGGGGTGCACATCAAGATCAATCGAAGGACTAACGGGTCGAGGCAGCCGCCGTGTCGGGCAAGCATGGACGATGAACTACACATTGCCCAAGAACGGACCGCATGGTTCCTGTAGAGGCGCTTGACGTGTGCAGGCCGGCTTCTCACATGCAGTAGGAGATGGGATGCTGCTTCTCAAACTCTGTTCGCCAGAGGCTGGCCTTCGCTCCCAAACTAGGTTTGCATACAGCGGATTCTTCCAGTTCTAATTATCACGACATAGCGCTCAAAGCACCAATCTCTCGGCATTTTGCACGCTATTATGCATCCTGATGGTACTATTGCTCGTCATAAAGCTTACTTCCGTTCATCGACAAGTTTCCCACCCATGGCAATTGCTGCAAGGACGAGGCACAGACTTGGCAGACAGGTACTGCGGACGTTCAACTTGAATTCAGTCAACTCGAAGTTTTCCTGTCATCTCCAAGTTCTGGCTAGATGAGGGTCTGGGACAGTCCACGCTTCGGAGTTTGAGCTTGTCTCGCCAACTGGATGCACATTTTACTCTATTGCAAATCGTGCATATGGCATTAATGGATAGAAGTTCTTCGATTACTCGCAAGGTTCGGAGTGAAAGATGCGGACTTTTGGAGACAAGTATACCCCATTTGTCGAGCCAACGTTCCCCTATTTCCGTCATTCTCATAATCTAGATAGGATGCTCGCACCGTCCGCATCGGGAGAACAACTTCCATCGACTATTCGCTAGTGAGCTTCTCTTATTCTGCAGCAAGCTCTCGCAGGTTTTTCCTACACGGACGCATAGCCTGAATTCATTGTCCAATGAGAGTCGGAGACAGTACTGCAACTTTGTAATCATCTAACGCTACCACCACAAGACCCAAAAGAGGACCCAGATCACTGACATTATAAAACGTTCCTACATCAATTCTTTAATCCCCCAGAAAGCCTTCAGAGCCTTCTACATACACTCCAGCATCCGCTCAGTCTTACCTTGAGATCACAATGAAGTTCAACGCTGTCTTCGTGGCTTCCGCCCTCATGCTCGCCGCGACCTCGATGGCCGCTCCAGCAAAGGTTTGTAATTTTATACCGAACGGTATGCAAGGTAGTTGTCCTAACAGTTCTCGTACTTTGAACACAGAGGTCTGGTTCTGTCGACCAACTTACTAATGCCGGCTCTGTTGACGCACTGACCAATGCTGGTTCTGTTGATGCGTTGACGAATGCCGGTTCCGTCGACCAGCTCACCAACGCGAAGCGCAGTGGCTCCGTTGATCAGCTTACTAACGCTGGCTCCGTTGATGCTCTCACTAACGCCGGCTCTGTCGACGCATTGACGAACGCAGGCTCTGTAGACCAACTCACTAACGCGAGATCCCGCCGCAGCGGCTCAGTAGACCAGCTCACTAACGCTGGTTCCGTCGATGCCTTGACTAACGCCGGCTCCGTTGACGCATTGACTAATGCCGGCTCCGTTGACCAGCTCACTAACGCAAAGGTAAACGGATCAATATTCTGCATCATTTATGGAAATTCCATCTGATCCGTACTTGCCTTTTAGAGGAGCGGTTCCGTTGACCAGCTTACTAATGCTGGCTCTGTTGACGCTTTGACGAATGCTGGTTCCGTCGACCAGCTCACCAACGCGAAGCGCAGCGGATCCGTTGACCAGCTTACCAATGCTGGTTCCGTCGACGCGTTAACAAACGCGGGCTCAGTCGACCAGCTCACCAACGCGAAGCGCAGCGGCTCTGTTGACCAGCTTACCAATGCAGGCTCAGTCGACCAGCTCACTAATGCGAAGCGCAGCGGCTCCGTCGACCAACTCACCAACGCAGGCTCGGTTGACGCACTCACCAACGCCGGATCAGTAGACGCCCTCACCAACGCTGGCTCAGTTGACCAACTTACGAACGCAAAACGCAGCGGTTCAGTCGACCAGCTCACGAATGCTGGCTCTGTTGACCGTCTTACCAACGCCGGATCCGTCGATGCTCTTACCAACGCTGGTTCAGTTGACCAGCTTACTAACGCGAAGCGAAGCGGCTCCGTCGACCAACTCACGAATGCCGGCTCCGTCGACGCCCTTACCAATGCTGGTTCCGTCGATGCTTTGACGAACGCTGGCTCTGTTGACCAACTCACCAACGCGAAGGTAATTTTCCGTACTCTGCATCATATTCTTAATGCTGACAATCACAACAGAGGAGTGGTTCAGTTGACCAGCTTACCAACGCTGGATCAGTTGACGCTCTCACGAATGCCGGATCAGTCGATGCTCTCACGAACGCTGGTTCAGTCGACCAACTCACTAACGCGAAGCGCAGCGGCTCTGTTGACCAGCTCACTAATGCTGGCTCCGTTGACACTCTCACCAACGCCGGATCAGTCGACCAGCTCACCAACGCGAAGCGCAGCGGCTCTGTTGACCAGCTTACCAATGCTGGCTCTGTTGACCGACTCACCAATGCCGGTTCCGTCGACACGTTGACCAACGCAGGCTCTGTCGACCAGCTCACTAATGCGAAGCGCAGCGGCTCCGTCGACCAACTCACCAACGCAGGCTCTGTTGACAGTCTCACCAATGCTGGTTCCGTCGATGCTTTGACCAACGCCGGCTCCGTTGACCAGCTCACTAATGCGAAGCGCAGCGGCTCTGTCGATCAACTCACCAATGCAGGCTCTGTTGACCGTCTCACTAATGCTGGTTCCGTCGATGCCCTTACTAACGCTGGATCTGTTGACCAACTTACCAACGCACGTCGCAGCGGCTCGGTTGATGCTTTGACCAACGCTGGATCCGTTGACAGGCTCACAAATGCCGGTTCCGTTGACCAACTCACGAACGCTCGTCGCCGCTTCTAAGTGTCATGCACTAGTGACTTATCTCCGGAGTTGAGCTTTCATGGTTGAGAATGTGTGTCTTTGCTGGGGGTGTACGAGCGGTTTATGGTTTAGAAGGATGAACGGCCTTTCTTTTCTTTTCTTTCATGTTGAAATCATTCTGTATGTCTAAGTAGCAGGTTGTACGAAAACGAGATTGGAATTGTTTCTGTCTATGACACTCATGATCAACAACGCGAGTCTTCTTTGGGATTAGTTCAATCTGATTTTTGAATGACGTTGCAAGATATGCATATTTATATAATGATATATTGAACAGCCGATCACCGCTCTAATCAGACCGGATGTCGATCCCGCAATACAATTTACAAATTATTATTTATATAAACACAGGACACCTAATCTCTTATCTACATTTACTACGGTAAGACGAAGCGGATCAATTCTTCGCCTTGGGAATACATGGAAAATCCGACTGAATTCAAAGAGAAGGTACTAATGCTTCGAGGAAATTTTCGTGTCCTCTTACTAGTACCTGTATACCCTTCAGCCTGTCCACGCAATGCAGCGGATCAGCTCTAATCTTCTAATGCCCTGGCCGCACCAATGTCCGATCTATTACCATTAGGCCTAGATCGCTAACTACGAACACATTTATACATCGTCCTGGCTTGATTTGGCAAGCTTCGTTCCTGACGTGTACCCCTTGGCATTGGACCTATTCTTCTTGCTTCCTACCTGATCTTTGCTTTGCCGACAGAGTGCATGGTGTCGATGAACGTACATCTTCGTCTCATCTTTACATCTTTTGATGAGGCATCTGTTGACGTTACGTCTAGTTCACGTCGTGGCCGAAGATAACCGATGTGAATAAGATTACTATGTACATAATATTTCCGTATATACAGTGGCTAATGCACATTATTTTGCAGTATACCTTTGACGAAAGCCGAAGGCGATCTATGTGATAAGAAAAAAGGATACTTATCAATTTGATTCTAGCTGTACATACCAACAAAATCCGAAGGGAAAAAAAGCCATCATAATTGTCTCATCCCGTCTTCGCCTTCATGTTCCTCCACAAAGTCAAGAACAAGATGACCCCAACGCCCAACAACGCCATCTGAAGACCGACGTATGCCTCCATTCCAACCTGAACGCCGGCGCCTCCCCATACGGATCCGCTCACACGTCCCGTAAAGTTGCTGTATTGTATCGCAAGGCTCATTCGTCCATTCCACTTAGGGTGCATCTGCTTACTCAGAAGACTCATGGTGACAGTACTGGCGACGTTGAATCCAAGTGCGACGAGGAACCAACATACGAAGAACGAACCGAAGGTCGCTTTGTTGAAATGGATGATCAAAAGCGTTAGAAGAAGACCGAGGAATCCAGTTGAGGCACCGAACGCGAGGATGAATCGATCGGGGACTCGACGGACGAGATATAGATTTAGGAATAGGAAAGGGAAAATGGAGATTCCGCCAAGAGCAATGAAGTTCCCGGCTGCGAATGGGCTCCAGTTAAACTGTGCAGCGGTGAAGACAGCGATGTTGGATTCCCAGCCGCTGAGCACGAAAAAGCATGTCATAGCAAACCAGCACATAGTAGCAATGACTCCCCATTGGCGAAGTGTAATACGCTCTGACTCGTCTAAAGTCGACGTAGAAGACGAAGGAGACACCGTAACGGTGGAGGCTGCTGCTGTTGACGGCGCTGATTCATCAGCTTCAGCCAGGGTGACAGATGTCTGCGAAGGATAAGGTTTCTTCTCGTCCTCGACGGCCGACTCCTCACGACGCGATGGTGCGTCAGGTACGTCATCAAAGAACAACCAGACGGCCACCCAGTAAACTGCCCAGAGGGCTGCCATAAGCCATCCCGGAGCGGTATCACCATTGAACACTCTGTTGCCGAATCCAACCTTGAATAGCAATCCTACATACTAACTTAGGTTGTTTACGACATAACAGATTCGCGAAACAACCTTACCTCCCAGGAAGGGTCCAACGCTGCATCCGATTCCCTGCCCGAGGACCAACCATCCGGCGAGAGTCGTGCGCCTACGGATACCGACAATCCGTGCATCCGAGCAGTAACGTTTCTGATCCGAACAATGGATACGTACGTTAATGCTCACGGACTTTAGTAAACGTAACTCCGGGCGCTTACCGAGTACATAAAGTTAGCCATTGCCAAACCAATGACGGATCGTCCGATGAGGATGAGCCACAGGAAATTAGCATACTGTAAGTTTTACCGGTTAAATGGGAAATATAACTCGACGAATATTTGAGCTTACATATGCTAAACCATACAGAATGTGTCCAATTATGGCCACTGCGCAAGAGAAATGGATCGGCCGACTGTATTTTCCTTTATCGGGAGGAACAGTTAATAATGATCCCTAGCTTCGGAGTGATTGATAACTGATGTATACCTTGGTCATACCGCAGGAGTGGGGGCAACGCAATGCCAGCGAACACTACTGGAATACCAAGTACCAGACCAGAGAACGTTGCCGTACCGCCAAGGAACTCTGCATATTTACTCGCGGAAGATACTGGAATGAACATGGTAATCTATCCATGCCGCCATATGGGATAATCAGTGTCAAGGCCGTCTGGGGAGGAGTTCTCTGTCAGCAAAGACCCACCTGAGACATGACGTTCAGCATAATGACGATCGCGAGTGAAGACATCTTCGGAAGCTTCAGCTCCGGATCAGGCTCATTGTTTCTACCATTTTCGACACTCGGGAGAGTCTGCTCAACGTCGACACTACGAGTCGTCGGGAGTGTCGATCCTCTAACAGAGCTCGGCCGGCGCTTGAAGATTTGGTCAAGCTTTGACAAGGTAGCCGCGGAGTTGAGCAACATTCTATCGATTCGGGTAAACGTTGAGCGGGCAAAATCAATTTCGGGATTGTTGCTTAAGGGACTGTCGTGGGTGGTGGGGGGGAAAGAGAGGTCGCAGGTTGCAAGCGATGCAGTCTGGGGAGTTTGACTAGACTAAGAGAAAACCACGGCTGACGGAAGGAGTTTTTGTTTGTAGCCTTTCGGATATCATCTCCTACGAATCTCCTTCTCACGTTTCGTTTCAGGTAACACCAGTAGAGCCGACGCTCATCCTAGCTGAGTGATGGAAGCGGAGCTGCCTAAGCAATGCACCATATGGTGACTTGCTATGCTTCTGCATTTCCAGTGGATTCGCTTAACCCGGACCTGAAAGTGAAACCCACATTTAATTATAACGCCTACCTCTAATAGACAGCGCGTTGCATTGCATAGCATCGCCCTGAATGAAAGGCTATCATTGATGCAGATGTGACAGTAGATCTGTCATACAATTTTCATGCATAAGAGAGACGAGCGAGCGCTGGCTTACGCGCGCTGTGTGCTCAACTGCGGCTCTGTGCAAGGTTAGGATTCAGTTGGCAGAACGCTAGTAAGCACCTGTCGGAAAAGATCTTCGTGAGGAGACAAACGCAAACTCCGGGTGCTTCGCTTGAGTCGAGGCCCGCGGCGGAAGAATCACATCATCCCTCCCTGACCGAGAACCTCCGAGTCCGAAGGCTTCTCAGGCCGTTCATTTACTCATGATTCATATCCGCTTCATATCCAGCAGCCTCATAAAAGATTGCGACAAAGATATGAGGCGCATTACGCACTTGCTGTTCGTCCAGTAGTCCAGCAGACGACTTCCTCGCATAACAAAAAACTAGAAGATTTGTGATATGTCGCCAAGCAGTGCAATAATCTTTCTCCGAGCGGGCCGGGACATCGGCAAAAGCGGGGCAGCGATGGAATATTCGTTTCAAATTCCCACCGCCACCCACGCCGTTACGCCGCTGGGAATGCCGAGAGTCCTAGAAACCATTCAGTTTAAGCAGTTTGTTCCCGAAATTTCTTTGACTCAGTGACGTTTCAGACATGTCGTGAGACAATACATTTGATGCGACACAACTTCATCAGAGATCACGTCATTATATTCCTAGCCCGATTCAAAGTCAGTCTACATATATTATTATATTCCCAGTCTCAAGCTTGTTCACTTGTTAGCTTCGCATTACTGTGCATATCTGTCCAAGTCGACGTTCTGATGGACCAATAACTCGGCCTTTGAGCTTTGCCGTTCCACAAGCCATATGCATACGGCAGGGCTTTGCAAATTAATTAGCCACTATCGCAATCTGCGTGACTGTAAGAAGCAAGATACACTGGGACGTCTGGGAACTCATGTGTAAACTCACACATAAAAGAATCCAATAGGTTCATTCTCTTTGTAATAGAATATAAAGGTCGAGTTCGAAAGACGTTGTCGATGGTTGATTTAGAACGTTATACAGTAATAAGAAGCAAACGATGACGACGTGCGACAAGAAAGTACTAGTCATACTTCGATTCGAACATCTTTTCGTATCTGTCACATCTTGTACTTTGCTTTAAACGACAAGAAAGCAATAGGATGGTCGATCTTTTTCTGCTCGTAACCACCGTGTGTAAATTGATCGATAATACATGGTGATAACTAGAAGGCTTTTCGAATTTAAATGTCAATCGAAGGACAAGCATTGAAGACATGATGGTTTGTTAACCAGCATTGATATTTAAACATGCGGCCGTAGCGAATCGCCGAATTTTCATCTTTTTTCCCTGCTGTTTTCAATGAATACCGGTCATACGAGGAGCGCTTCGCCTTTTGCAATAGACAAAACACCCAAGATACCAGTTCTGTTACAGTAGATCTCTGTCCAAATTGTTCGGGTCATAGCTGGTTATCCCGATCCCGAATTAAGATATACTGACGATCGTAAAGCTTGTGCTGCCGCGGATGCCCGCATGTAATCAACAAGGTTTGCAATAAGATGGATACAAACGGCTATTTCAAAGCGTTAAATCTTTCACCCATTTCCCATCAGTAACGTCCTTGAAATCACCCGTAGACAATGGTGCAAACAGCTTCAAATGCAGCCGGTATTAATAATAGGTTTCATGATCATCCAATACCGATCTTCTGTCCTTTCCGTCCACATCGGTCCTTTCTTCAGCGTAAATGATAAGCATATGGAAGAAAAACTTTCGTTGCCACCCCCAAGGATCATTGTACGGTCGTGTGCTATTTATAGGAATCAAAGCCGCGGCAGGGACAAGGAGTACAATCAGTCATCATTTTGCTGCGGTAAGCCTAAGATGAGTAGACATGAGGTCAGTAGTAATTTCTAGCAAAGTACATTGTCTCCAATGTACCTTGCACCGAAAACCGCCGATCGTCAAGCTGGGCTTTAACCCTTGATGCCAGAGTGGAGACGCACAGGTTATCAAATGTTGTTTGATCACCCGTTACATCAGGTCAAGGGCTTGATACTTCAGTAAGAGCAGGATCGAGACAGTTCATCAAGTTCAGGTTAAACTTCCGACTCGGATTCGACTGTCAGGACCAGTGTTGGGAACTAGGTACCAGGCGACTTAAGGACACAACCAAAAGTACAGTATTCCTTTGTCTTAGGCGATAACTAAATCTTCCGATGCTTTCGGGTTTGTCGGAATACGCGCTTAGATCAGTGCCACACAGCTGACGAAGCATCTCCAAAGGAACCGTCGTGGTCAGACGTGTCGTCAATTGTAAGCAATGCACAGCTTACTACTTAGCATCTCAAAATACTCCAAATGATCTAGTCCCTGACTTCTTTGTATAACCTCCAAAAATCGGTGCGTTAATGTACATTTGACGGAAGTCGAACTGCGTTTGCTCAGTTTGTCAAACCAAAGTTAAGCCACGCAATGAGTTGATGTAGTGCATTGCACGGGATGAATTGGTACATGACGTGGTATATGTAATGAATAAAACATTGGGTAGGTCAGGTTGTTCCTTATTAGAGCTCATCGTCCTCATCGGCTTCAAACTGGATAAGCAAACTTCCGCGCATGGAACCTGTTAACCTAAGTTAGACGATGCCATTTCTAGCACAGGAAAAAAGGATAAAAGACTCACGAACAGATTGGCCTTGGGAATGACGCGCACGATGTGCAAGAGGAGACGACAACAAAGATGCAGAGAAGGAGGAATTTAGTGAGTTCTGGAAAGGTGAGGATGAAGGCGAGGACGTGGCTAATGGTCCTTTATAGTTGCCCATGCGGGAAGGCGTTGAGATCGGAGTAGCATATGAAGATGACAAGGAAGGTCCCTTTTGAGAGAGCTAAGAGAAGATTGAGATAAGATCATGCTTTGAGGGGAAATGAACTCACAGGGGTTGAAAAGCTCTTGAGTGGTCGAGCAAGTTGAGGAGTCTGGGCTTGGACTTGTTTCGCGGGTGAGTTCACCGGCCCACATGGTGTTGGCGGATATCGAATCCCAATGTACGATTGAACAATGTTTGCAGATAGAATGCTAAATAGTGCTAGTTCTGTTTCCCATGGTTTACGATGAAAAGCATGAAGTCAAATGAGCGAACGTGAATGGCGTACCGATCCAACACAACCATCGCAGAGCAAAGTTCCTTTCCTTTCCATCCTTGAGTAGCATCGATAAGCACGTAATGGGGGACGGCACGATTGGTGCCAATTGCGTTATGAGCAGCAGGATAACCAGGGCGAAGCAGTTGTTCTTGAGGCGTGCGACAGCCACGCTACGTCGCGGCTTCAGCCAGTCGAATAAGGTAAGAGCAATTGGGGGACCATGGCTACTAGTAGCCTCGGATGCCATCAAAGTAGGAAAGAGGATGCAAAGAGAGTAAATTGTGAACCCAGTTGAACAACTCTAAGAAGGTCGTGTTCATTTCAAAGTCGCGAACAAAAAGCGCGACAAGTCGGTCACGTGCCGTCCGGCTCCTGTTAAGGTAGACGAAAGATAAACTCTGGGGGTCCGCTTTTCCCTATTGACGCGCGGTCCTGCGGAGTTTGAAAACTTACCAAACTAAGCGGCAAACTAAGCAGTAAACTGATAGACAAGTGTCCGGGTTAAAATTGTCCTTGTAGAAAAGATTTTCTGCTCCCCACATGTATTTTAAATTGACAAAAAAATATGAATAGCATTAAAAAGATGATAAAGAAACTTTTTACAGAAGGAATTTTGATTTTATTAGAAACTAGCTAAAATATAACTGTTTTACACTCCAAATCAACTATATCTTGAGCAATAATTTTCTTCTGACAAAATCCTTCTGTAAATCTTTTAATAATGATTTATTTTGATTTATAGTAATGTTTTCGTGTGAATTAACTGACCTCTGCATGAGGAATGAAATAAAGAATGA